GCGGCCTTATCATTTAACATCAGGTGAACCGCCAGCTCCCTGGCAACCTTCTCACATAAAAAAAGATAATAAATAGGGCGGCAATAGGCTTTCGTATACCACGGGGGTTGGCGACGCGGATATTTGGGAATGGTCCGTTGTTAATGGTCTTTTGGTGTACTCATTGTGAAATTTTCGAACGATCATTTATAGATTAAATAGGAAAGAGCGCGGGAAGTGCGGCCCTAATCGCCCAACGGATGTACGACGACCTAGATTGAGTTAGCGTTCGATAAATTCGATCTTTACGTATTTGAGTTAAAAACATTAAAAGGATCACATCTGGGATCGAATTAAAGCCGCATGTCCGTGAAAGTAATAGCGAAATAGTAAAAGAGGAAAAAAAACCGGTCAAGCGCGAGACGGACTCGCGACGAAGGGTTCCGTACTATTATCTAGAAAAACAGCAAATGTCTATTGTATGCGAGCCTCACTTAAATATTTTTTTTACTTTTTTTTAGTATGTTTTGTTATAGCGGCAACAATATAAATACATCATTTGTGAAAATTTCAACTGTCTATCACGGTTCATGAGCACAGCCTTGTGACAGACGGACAGACAGACAGCGGAGTCTAAGTCATAGGGTCCCGTTTTATCCTTTTGGTACGGAACCCTAAAATGCAATAAAAGATAATATTATTTCGACTATACGAGTATTCAAATTTTAACCTATTAATTACAAATCACGTAATAAATATATCATGCCACATGACACCAATAATGGTAGTCGGAATTCATCTGAGTCGTTTAACCTTTGAGCTGTTATCGCCACGAACAATGCGTTAGATGTATACATTATACTATTGTATGTTACTCGCACATTATTTAACACGAACGTAACAGTCGACGGTAATATGTTAATTTGTTTATATCAATGAATGCGCGAATTATGGCGTTATCGGTAAAACTTGGCGGGCGGCACACAGGCACAATGCGATCGACTTCGGTAAGATGTTTTTTTATTTCTAACAGTATAACAATTTGAAGAAAACGTTATGGTGTTCGAGGAACTTTAAAAAAATATTATTAGAACAACATGCGACGTTTATAGCTTAGAAACAAGAGTAAATGTTTAAATTGTGTTTCAGCAACTGTTCTGGCGTGACAACAGACAGAAACACAACTGGGACTATGATAGCTGACATTAAACCTCAATACGTTGGTGGCGAAGGAAAAAATGTAAAATATAATAAAAATAATAACATTTCGCGGAGTATTTCTCACCTCAGTACTAGCGAGAGGAGCACGGGATATTTATTAAGTATGTATAGTAGCATTTAAAGTATCGATAGTAACATTTACCAGTATCTAGAGACTATGTAGTACTTAGATCCGGTAGAGGAAAATCGGATTAGGTTTTTTGGTTTTAAAACGGTTCAAACAACACATATTCTAGGTTTTTTATAATTTAACACTATAGGTACAAAAATATTGTCAAGACACATACATTGGTGTCTTATTTTATGTTTTACTAGCGGTGTCCAAGACTTCGTCCGCGTGGAGTTTTAAATTAATTTCTAAAATAAAAGTAGCCTAAGTTACTCTTTATTACATCAGCTATCTGCCAGTGAAAGTCCCGTCAAAATCGATCTAGCTGTTTCAGACATTAAACAGATAGACAGACGGACAAAAATAAAATAAAAAATAATATTTTGGTACAAGTACCGTGTAATTATTTATTTATTTATTAAAAAACGGTTATTTTAATATTACAAACAGACACTCCAATTTCATTTTATTTATATCTGTATAGATGTATAGATTATGTTGCCATGGCCACGTGGCAGGCTACTACATAATATGTATACGAAGCGTCTTTTGGTTAAAGCGGCAACAGTTTTATGCCTGTACTCTGTAACCGACAGTTTAATCCCTGTTACTTTTCATAGTTCGTTTTTGTAAATACTAATATTTTTATTACATTATAATACAAATACAAAATAGACTTATGTGCATTATAAGTTATATTTCCATTTGGTTTATCTCCGAAGATACTGAAAAAAGGCTATCTATTACGTTAAGTGCTTAAAAAAATTATGGAAATTTTAAACATTAGCAGAAGTTGATAACAGCTTCAAATCACGCATGGGATAATTATAACACTTTTTAAATACCTAATGGGTTATTTCGCAAAGAAATAAAAGTTACTATTGTAAAGAAAAGTAAATCAAAGTAATATCTTCGGTTTTTTTTTATGCCCTCAATCGTAACAATTCTGTACCAGCTTATTAGGAATGTAGTTATTAAGAAATCAGCCGTAGTGATTCTCGTGATATTCTTGTACTTGTTCACGATGCGTCTTTGAAGAAGTGATGGATTTTTGGTTGACGGCAAATTTTAGTGGCTGGAATGGTATCCATATGACATGAATTTCCGTGGGACTTCTTATTATCTTGTAGAGATTGATATCGACATAAACACATTTCTGATGCCTTTTACCCGAGGCTTTTATTCTTTCCGAAAATTAAATGACATTTACGAGATAAGGCCGTCAAAATTTTATAGCCTGTACTCGGAAACGGTATAAAACCGCCACCGCTTTTTAGACGTATTTTTTTGTTTTTATCCTCATACTTGAATTGCGTCGTGTTAATAACGATTTGAATATACTTTTGCGAACATAAACACAGGTTGTTTTTCTATTTCGGGGTACCTATGTGCATTTTTATAGGAGATACAGAGATATAATTTGCCACGTTTTATGACTCTCTGTCGACAAATAACAAATTTGCGGTACAAATTTGTTATTGTGTTTAAAGTAAATTCCTGATGAGTTGCAAACTAAAAATTGTAAATATCTCGGAACTGGATAAGAATGCATTATAACCTCTCTTTATTTGCGGACTATTCATTAGGGTTCCATACAATAGATACTATTGGTACATATTCCGGTAGGGGAAATGCCATTACTAAATGCACAAATTAACAAAACAATTCACGTTATTTAATAAATACTATTTTACGGATTTTCTCGCTATAAATTTAAATTTAATTTACCGACACCGTCAGCAAGCGATGAAATCGGATAAACAGCATTATTCAATTTAATACAAAAACCATTCCAATTTATTTTATTTCATTCATTCCCACTGTAATCTTTTCTCTCTCAGAACGCTAATCAGTGATAATTCATTCGTTTATAAAGTCTGTCAGTGCACTGATTAAAATGTGTGTGTCGTGTTCCGATACGTGACTATCAGAAATAAACAAGAAAGTTGAGTCTGAAATGAGAACGCACGCTACCGAACTTAAGTTACAGATTTGGTTACCTTCAATGGTTGGGCTACTAGTTATTATTAAAATATAATTATTAAAATTTTAATTACTTATATTTTATTTAATAAAAAATAAATAAAGCTCAGTCAAATGTAATAACGATAGTTTGATAAAAAACTTAACAACACATACAGTGGTATTATTGGCACAATGTAAATTTAAGTGAAAATGTGCACTATAAAAACTTAAATTACAAAGTATTTTGTTTAAAATTTAAGGACATAAACAAATGTGTGAACGTATGAGGCGAACGCATGGCGAAGTCCAAACACAGTTGTTTACACAATGATTAGGTAGCAACTTGTCAAATACCGACGAAACAAAATTTGGAACCTGCAATGCAAGGGTTTTTGATATAGAGCCTTCTCCCATAACGAACTACATTATCAGCTAGTTTGTCCCGCCACCATTAACTTTGGAAATGGTTCCAAATGCCAGGAATCTAAAATCAAAATAAAACGCGATAAAACCGTTCATTTAACCATGTATAGTATTCGCGTAAAAACAAGAAATCAATATATATCATTTAGATTAATTAACCTAATATCGGACAACCGATCGTAAAACATTCAATTATTAATACAGATAAGTTTTATAATCACCACTACAAAAACAAACAATTAGGACACCGATACCTACCTCTCGCGACATTCCCTTGGCCTACCGGCGCTCCGTTCACTTTGATCCGTCTCCCGTCTGCAGTACATTTCAAAAGCATATTTCCAACATACGCTTACGTGGTGTGATCCATTCAACATATGATTTCAGCAACTAGTGTGTAAAAAAATCATAACACGCAATTACTACACAATCTTCGGCGCCAAGCGCCAAACGATTGGTTGTCTTTAGTGACGTCAAGAGTCAATTTGAAACCACTCGAATCGACACAAAAACTTGTTATCTTACTGTCTTTTAGTAATTACATTAGTAGTAAACACATAAATGTTCACAAAACACTCAACACTTTTTAAAACTTCCTTTTGTTTTATTGCAGCGCACAATTATTTTTTTTGTAAATAAAGTTCACTTTAAATATCAGGCCAAATTGACGATACAATATGTAATAATATCTGTATGTCCACTTCACTTGTCCATCGACAGTCCAACCAACAACGACAAGCGACTATCAAATCAGAGCCATAACAAATTCAAACTGAAAAGGAGGCGTATCGCCAAATTGCGAGCAAGCGAATATTTGACAATGACAACTCAAGCTCAAGTCAACGGAGTTTTCGAGAATGAATGAAATGTATGAAATATGAATTAGTATGGTACTGTTTTAATATAAAACATTTTCTGCCATGAATTTTAAATTTCAAAGAATAAATAAACTACAAACAGTTTATTGTATGTTCTAATTTACTTTAAATTTCTTTGCTTTGAAATTTATAACATGATCATAATATATAACAACAATTTTAAAATTAAATTCCTTGGAGTAATAATAAATAAATTTAAATCTCTTTATGTTCAATTTGTCTAAAACTTTATCAAAACAACCAATAAATTAAATTCATTATATCTACTAGATTATCTGCCAATAAAAGAAAAGAAAGTGACAGCGCGCCATTTTGATTGATACATTTGGTTCCATATTCTGCTATCCGCTAAATTTCAGAAAATTTAGCTGCTATTAGGATCTTTCGGGTTTTTGTTTGCTACCAATTTGAATAACCCCTAAAACATGGGTAAAAAAGATAAAAAAGGAGAGACCACTGATCCATCTAGTGAAGAGGAATATGTCGTCGAAAAAGTGCTCGACAAAAGAACCGTCAAAGGAAAGGTTTGTATGTTATGGCTATGATGATTTTTATACTCTTAAGTATATATTAATTCATTTTATTAAAAATGTTGAATGACAATGATATTTGAATCCATTCTTTACATATTTAGATTATATAGAAAACAGGTTTATTCAAAATGTATAACTCTTTAGCTTGGCGGCGTTTTTATTTACATATTGTAAGAATCATGTTTGTCCTTTTCTTGGTTACAATTACCATCATAATTTTTTACATGTACACTTCTGGCATAATTTTGAATTATTAGTTATGCACCATTACGGTATGTGCCAAATTTAATGGCCGCTATGAAGAAGCTACGAGAACAGACTTGCGCAGGTCTCGTCAGCTCGGCCATTTTTTGTGGTGCCATTACACTGAAAATTAGATTGGATTGAAATAATACAACCAATAAAAAAAAATTTTTGGGGAAATAGGCTCTAATAAATTTGGTGCTAACAACTATTATGAATTATTTAACTTTTATAAGAAAATAATTTCTTGGTGTAGTGATTTTAAAATTGCTTATTACATTTTATGTATAGGGTGTTGTTCCTGGAAATTTATTACAGAAAAATATATCAGCATATACATGTCCCACTGCTGGGCAAAGGCCTCCTCTGTACAGAGGGTATCACTAGTCCTCCACGCGGCCCCACTGCGGATTAGCTGACTTCACATTTCTTCGAAATATTTTTTAAATTATTATTTCGAAAATATGCAGGTTTCCTCACAATGTTTTCCTTCACTACTGAGCATGTGATAATTCAGCATTTCAAATTAACAATTTCATTGATGCCAGCACAGGGGATAGATCTCAGGTTCCATGAGTATATTGAATTAAAAGCGAGCTCCCAGATACTGAGCTATCATGTGCTTATTGCCTATTACAGAAACGAATATTCAAAATAAATAGGTGGTATTTAACATTGTTACTTAACCAAAACATGCGAATGTGTGTAGCATACTATTGCACCATGCACATACGCTTACAGCTATAATAAGAGTGGGTTACATACAAAGAGCTAGAAGGTGGGTGTGCTGTCTGCCTGCATGTCTAATTCCTACATGTTTTATTGTCTAATATTCCTGTCAACAATGTAAAAATTTATTTGTACAGCGCTTTGCTTCTAACTCCGCAGCCAGTATTAGGTTTAACATAAACTATGGAATGTAACCATTCAAGAAAAAAACCTTTTATAAGTTTTACTTCTTCTTGGGGGTGCCCTATTCTATTGGATGTCGGCGGCCACCACACGGAACTCTTCTCGCCAGTCTGCACAGACTGACAGTGTCCTTGATGTCTGACCCTTTTTATCAAATGGTCAATCCATATTATTTGTCTTCTTCCTATTCCCCATTTTCCATTTTTTCTTCAACTAGATTTTTCAATATGTTATATGTTTCATGACTAAATACCTATGTCAAACATATGCGGTTTTATGTTTTTTAATAAATAGTTGTCAATATTTTTGTTTCTTCATTTGTTATTCTATCTCGCCATGAAATCTTCAACACCAGTCTAAACAGCTCCATTTCAAAGGTGATAATTTTTGTTTAGTTTTCAACCCTCGGCCCTATACAGAAGCACTGACAAAACACTTACCATTCTGCATATGAGTTTAAAATCTGATCTCTATGTTAAAGTTTTTTCATTTTCATGAAGGTGCTTCTGGCGATTTCTATTCTAGTATGGATTTCTTTTTTAAGTTTCTGACAATTATAAGAAAACAATTTTTTTTCTTTTAGGACTGACATTACCACAACTTTATTTGTATATATTAATTTCTTGTTACTTTGCCCAGTTTTTAGTAAATGTTTAGTCTATTATTTTTCCAATAGGTTAAGAATAATAATAAAAATATTAAAAAGCAGAGACAACCATTTATATCTCCCTAACACATAGTGTAAAGTAATATGGGTTAAGAAATCAATTGAAATAGAGACATTTTTGTCAACATTAAAAACAATTGTGCACCATGTTGTGCATTTAATCACCGTGGGACACCAAATATATTTTAAATGGCTTAAAAATATACTTTAAGGATAATTCTAATATTAGCTGTTCTATTAAAATAAATTGATTCTTTAAATTTACACAGATATTTTATAATTTTGATTCACAAACAAATTACAGTATGCAATTTTGTTCCCACATTTACTAATTTCACAAACATGCAAGAAGAATTATTTGCTAGTTATTAATAATTTTCTTAAGCTTTGTGTCTTAAAAAGAATTCCAACTCTGAATTTCAGTTTATTTTTCCAAAACTCAGTATAAGAATCAAATCTTGGTTATTCATCAAATATGCTATATTGGTTTTCCTTATCTTGCATTAGATTAAAATCATGTTTTGTGTATCTATTCCAACGCCAAGGTTTTCTAAGCAGCAATTTAATACAACCTGTAGATTTTACAGCAATGGTACTCAACCTTTTTTTCATTGGTGTCACAAACTCCCTATATCCTTTTTCCTTCTTTTTTGTTTACACATGTAAAGATCTTAAGGCTCTAATTCAAAATACTCAAACAACCTGAGTTCTTTTTATTTTATTTTTTTTTTATTATTTTATTTTTTACATTGCTCTTACTTTATGATAACATTATCCTGTGTTGTAGGGACGTTTTGCAAACATAAATTTCACGTTAGACAAACACCCAGATGCGAAACAACTATCTGTGGGTCGCACATATAGTTGTGCCCTGTGTGAATCGAACCCCTGACGCTGAAGCCAATACCTTGGCAACTGCACTACGGAGTCATCAAATTATGAATTCTGAATACCTGAATCAGAGTTAACTTGAGTTGATATTTTTCACTAAAATATTTTTTACTACAGATGTGAATTATTTTAAATACAATACCAAATGAGAGATACCTACCTATTTTTATTTTGCATTTGAAATACTTTTTTCAAAATGTGTTTTCTAATTGAAATACATAAGTGTTTAGTATTTGCAAACTGCAAAAATATTTTAAATTTTTTAATTCATATTTAATTTTATTCTCATCTGTCAATATCATCTGAAGAATTTCAAGAGTTGCAGCTGCACAATCAAGAAAATTGTCTTACACTCATTTCATTTAATAGCTTTACGAAATGTATTATTTGTATCTTTAATTGAAAACCCAATTTTGAATGTATGCATTATGGATTTTGTATTTAAATATGTTAATTGAAATTGATTTTGTATTTACAATTGAAATATTATTTAACACATCTCCTTTTACATCAATGTCACTCAAGTAGCTAAAAGTTTTACCACAACTTTGCTTACCTTGTAAACAATGTTTCTTTAAAAATAATATGCTTAACTGTATTTCACAGTATCATATACAAAATATATGGAATGATATTCCATGTATTTTAGAATTGGTTTCGGTTTCTGAAAATTTTAATAATATTTTTTTAAATGTTTGGTTTACTTCACAGAATGGTTTTTTAAATAGTGTTTTTATATGTTGTTATTTTAGATCCAGTACTTATTGAAGTGGAAAGGTTATAAGGAAGAGGAAAGTACTTGGGAGCCTGTGGAAAATCTTGATTGTGAGCAGCTGATTAAAACATTTGAAGAAAGCCGAAAAGAAAAGGAGGTATGTACTTTTTTATAATTGATTCAAGACATTTCACCATACAATTGTTGCTTTATTAAATATATTAAAAATAGTATTACTAGTGCTAGTGCAAAATTGTTCTTAGTCTCTTATTTCAATTCATTACCTACTATAACCTGTGACTTACAGCTACTCATACATTATTATTTACAATTAAAATTTTTTATTAGAAAAGTAGTACTTAGGTTTTATGTTCCTTTATTGTCAGTACACATAAATTTTGCGGTAGTATGGCCACTCAATAGCTTCGGCTGTTGCTTGCACGAATGGGTATGTCCATCCGGGTAAGTACCACAACCTCACAGAAAACCAGTGTGAAGTGAAAGTGTCATACTTCTCATTTTTTCGCATTTCGTCTGGTGAATGAGGTAGCCAGGTCCCACTTTATTATGCGGCAACACATCTGCAACCCTATGGATGTTGCAAATGTTCATGGTTGTCAGTTTTCACTTAACATCAGGTGAACTGCCAGCTCGCTTGCCACCTCACATAAATAAAAACACAATATGATTAACTACATAATATACATTTACCTTACCATTTATAGGACCATTCACATGGTTTTATGGAAAGCGGAAGAAGTTGTGTACGTTAAATTTTAGCTGCAGGAAGTTGTCAAAACCCAGGATAATGCAATGTTTTAATTTTGTAATATGAATTTTCCATTTGGTATAGTCTAGCACTAAAAATAAAAATGTTTGTAATAAATACATTAAAAAAAATCAAATTATGTTTTTCATCATAAAAAATTACTTTTATCTAGAAATCACGAAAGTCTGAAGATCGCGGGAAGAAGAGAGTACGCGAGTCTAGTGAGGACACAAGTGTGTCAGGGCGTAAAGGCCGTGATAATAGCGTATCTTCTATGGAGGAGCCTAAAGAAAGCAAAAAGGAAAAGAAGGAAGATAAATCTAGGTCTGGCTTTGAAAGAGGGTTAAAGGCTGAGAAGATCATAGGTAACACAATGTTTTGAACTTAATTAGTATTTCAAATATTACCACATATTTGCTTTATATCAAAGAAATAATGATATAACTAATTTACTAATATTATTACAAGTTTCACTAGACTATGTTTTCCGCATTCTCTTCTAAGTGATGAATTTTAGAGCACTTGTTGTTCACCTTAATTATTTTATATGAGGACTTTGTATGCCAACTGTACTCCTATGCTACCTCTTTGCTTTTATCGTTGACATGCTAAATCTCTTATGTTTAAGTAATCTTTGACTATTACAGGTGCTTCGGATGCAACTGGTGAGCTAATGTTCCTTATTAAGTGGGCGGAATCAGATGAAGCTGAATTAGTGCCAGCCAAGGTTGCCAACATTAAGTGTCCACAACAGGCAAGTAAACTTTGTCAAAATATTATTGATAAACAAATGTTTTAAATGTTGTATTATTTACATTTTGTTATGGGCCATGTGTGTACTTTACTTTTTAGTTTCTACTTTAAAACAGTTTTTAATGCTTTTTTTACACCTAAGTCTGTTAGCTCTCCTCAATCTCACTCGCCTTATCTTTGTGTGAGCAGAGCTCTTCCCTGCAATTTGCCAGATTGGGTAATGTATCGTTAATCCTTTGGTTTTTGCATTGGAACATGTTATACAACCAGTTATATATACAAACAGTAATTTTTCAATAGAAAGTCTATATGACACAAATAAATACTATAAATATTTTTAATAACAGACATGTCTGCTGTAATTGGTGCATTGGGTAAAAAATGAATGAAAGCTTGACTAGCAAACTACTCCTGAAAAGAATCAAACTTCTATAGATAATGGACTCTACACTTGTTTAAATATGGATTTTACTATATTTTGTGACCGTAGGGTGTATATTATCAGTACATATTACATTTTCAATTCTTTCTCTATATAGCTTTGCCTAGCATATATAGAATTTTCCAATAGAAAACTCTCTATTTAATTGTTCTATCAGACAATTCAAAGTTATCCCACAGTTATGCCCTCATGTTGTCATGTTATCCCTTTTTTAACTATCTTATGTACGATGGCAAAGCTATAAATAGAGAAAGGATAGCAAAAAAAGCCTTACTAATGAGTATTATTTGCATATATGTGTACTATTATGGGAAGAGGAGTTGCAATACTGCCTTATGTATTCTTTATGCATGTAATAGGGTCACACGGTCAAATGTCATAATTATTTAGCAAGGAAATGCAGCTAGAGTTTGTGGCACCATGCCGCCTGGACTATATTTATTACATAACATTTAATGTTTTTATGTTTAGTTAGTATTGTAAATATTTTTTCTTAATTAATAAACTCATCGTCATCTAAAGATAAAACAGATATTTCCATATATTTGCAGGTTATTGCTTTCTATGAGGAGCGACTTACATGGCATATGCCTGCTGAGTCTGAATGATACAACGACCGCCGGGGTGCAATAACATCCTATAGACATTCTGATGGTAGCCAACGTGGATTGTTTACAGTGCGTGATGGTGGTCCTTTAATCTGCGTGTTTACTGTGCAAAAGAAGAAATAGGTTAAGTTATGTGTTTTAATGATAAATGTTTGTGACACTTGTATATGAAAGCAAACAGCTAAAGTTACTTTTCAAATAAAGTATGTATATTAATTAGATATCAGTGTAGTTTGTTGTGAATTTGCAAAACATGTCTAATATAGTTTTCACATTGATAAACCCCATACGGTATAGATTTTTAATGTTTTTAAGATAATCATGTTTGTGTCCAATGGTAAAATTTTTTCATCTCCAAAAACTTGAACAGTGCTTATGTAATTTTTAATGAAATTATTATTTAATCAATTTAGGCAATATAAACATTTAGAAGACTAAAGTCTCCAACCAATGTGTTGCCATTGATTACATATGGAACTGAGACATGTACCTTCAGCGCTTTTGAGCTTCTTCCAAAGCTCAAAGTCGCTCAGCGATCTATGGCTCGGAGTTTCTTTGCGTGATAGAGTTCGCAACGAGAACATCCGCAGTAGAACAAAGTAACCGACATAGCTCAGAAGGTTAGTAAGCTAAAGTGGCGTAGGCCATATAGCTCTTAGAACCGATAACATTCGGGGAAGAATTATATTTAGAAAGGTTGTCGAGTGGCAGTCTCATACTGGCCATCATAGTGTGGGACGACCCCCTAGATGGGAGTGTCGACCTGTACATGTGTGCGAAGTCGATGAATGCAGGTGGCTCAGAATCGTACTTCGAGGCAGTTTGTGGGGGAGGCCAATGTTCAGCAGTTGACTCAGGCTGAAATGATAATAATAAATAATTAGCTACATTTTTTAACTCTGATGAATCGGTTGAAGAGATTGCTGCCTGTTTTGGGATTCTCGCTCTATGCATGCAATATTTGTATGGTACTATATTTGTTGGTTTTGGTCGTTTTTTATTTTAAACCAATATTTTAGGGCAATTATGCATGGTAGGTCAGGTCATGTAACAAAGGTAAATATTTGAAAATTTAATTAAAAGTTAATAAATTTACCTTTATTAATATAAAAATGTAATTCACATTTTGCTTCAAATCATTCAAATTGAGCTTTAAAAGAAGCAGTTGAAAAATAAATAAAATATTTCTAAAAGGAAATGTTTATTGAAGTATACTCACATATATCAGAAAAATAAGTAAAATACATCAAAATGCTAAAACTGGTGTAATGGTTGATATTATATAATAATGGTTATAATAAATCGTTAATTTTCTTTTTAAATACATTACCATTTCTATATTTCATAATCTAATAACTAACTCTAATTCACTCTTAACTGTGGTAGGACCATGCGAGTGTCCATCCGGGATAGTACCGAGACCTCACAGAAGACCGGCGTAAAGTAGAAGTATTACACTTCTGCGTTTCGTCTGGTGAGTGAGGTAGCCGGGGCCCACTTTATTAAAAGTTAGCAACGCCTCTGAAACCCTACGGGTATTGCAAATGTCCATGGGCGGTTGTTATCACTTAACATCAGGTGAATCACCACTTTATCACATAAAAACTCAGTATTTTAAAGGCAGTCTTTTTGGTTGGAATTTTAAAATACTAGTGCGTTTAATCTTGTGCTATGTAAGAGTGCGCATTTATTTTACTTATTAAATTTATACGTCCAAACAATATTACTTTCAATAATTATGAAATGTTCAACGAAAAAATTAGTTTAAATATAAAGTTCACAAATTTGAAGAAATGGAACAAGTACTTATTAAAAATTCATGTGAGCTGAATGTTCATACACAGAAACAATGACTTATTAATTAAGAAGAAAAGATAAAACGAGATCATCGTAATAAATATATCTGAAATCCTGAAATTTATGAAATTTTTCATGTCTTATATACAAGCAGTGTTAAAGATGTACTAGTATCCTTAAAGCTAATAAAAAAATAGCTTAATAGCTAACATGAATATTATTTCAAACACATAAATGCACAAATCATTCCATACAAAAAGGTGCATCTTGAAGACGACTGTCTAAACCCATGTTAAAATTGGTACATAATATGCCACATATTTTTCTGACCTTATTTTTCATATTATCGCTATTTGGCAATCTCTCGGTGTGCGGAAGGATATTTTATTAACAGAGAATTGATATCAATAATAAAGATCTTTGTGTTAATTAAACTACAATGCAGTCTGCATAAATTAATGTTTAAATTAACATATTTTCTTCGTATCATAAATGGTATTGTACTGATGTCTTATCTGGATTTGTTTTGTATTATATTATGATAATACATAATATGTCTTCCTTATATATTGAAATGGTTCAGTGACTTAACATCTTTTTTTTTAAGACTGATGTTTTCTTCACGATGGTTTGCTTCTCTCAGTTTAATTTCAACAATTGAAATCCACAGGATAGCACATTTAGTTGTCAGCAATTTATGCCTGATATTTGTAATCGTTCTTGCCCAGTCCATTGCTGTAACAAAGGGAAAAGTTATAAATATGATATAGTCCAGACATTATTTCATTGAATTCACTAAAATTAATGGAATGATATAAATAAATAATTAATATGCTATTTAGTATAGATACATATTGAGTTTTCAGTTAACACAGTGAGTAATGAGAAACTAAGATGTGCGCACATGACAGTGCACATGTGCCGTGTGAGATGTGCGCACATGTCTGCATGTGAACGCGTGCGGTAGGTCGGGCACCTGAGCTGGGCGACGTGCCCCGGCGTGTGGTGCACCAGCGGCGCCAGGCGCTCCGTGAAGCGCTGGAAGTTGCGCTCCAGCTCGCGCTGGTACTCGCGCTGGTCGCTGCCGATCAGGTTCTTGTTCTTGCGCAGCGCGTCGTGGCACCTGCACGCCCACGGAGCGGTAAACGGTGGCTGGTTTTTTTAAATTCAAAACTAGCACAAATGGCCAGCACTTGACTGTTTTAAATTCAAAACTGGCCAGCACTTGAATGCCATCCCGCGTGATGGCAAGTGGCGATGCAGCCGTTGACGGTAAGCGCGCTAGCTCAGTAAAAACCTATTCACTCTTGCCTCGAAGACGCCTACGTTATATTTGGACAGAAAGACGAACGCTGGCAGGTTATTCCATTCCTTATCTGAACGAATGATAAACGACGACGAATCGTTTTGATTTTTTTTTAAACCACCACTTTTTTGAAAGAAAGAAGAAAGAAAGAAACTCAAAATATTCAAGTAAACTCTTGCGCGTTCTTATGTCGAATTTTACATAAAAATTGATACAAAATCCGTCAGAAAGTTACCACCGGTGAGGAAAGCAGTTTCTGTTGAGAAGAGACCGGCAAGAAACGCAACAGTTGTTCTTTTTAAAAAAATATCATTTAACAAAATAATATGGTACATGTATAATACTCTTATTTTAACGTGAGTATCAAGGACGCAGTGTAGGACGACCCCCCACTAGATGGAGTGACGACCTGTGCAAATGTGCGGGAAGTCGATGGATGCAGGTGGCTCAGGATCGTACTTCATGGCCGTCTGTGGGGAAGGCCTATGTTCAGCAGTGGACTCAAACAGGCTGAAATGATGATGATGATGATGAGTATCAACAGTATTAATGCGAATGCGACACATTGGCATCGTCGAGATATTCTGCGATGGTATTATAGGCTTTAAAAATAAGTCTACTCTTAATTTTGTGTCTAAATTGATCAAACGGCATGCGGCAATAGATGCGCCAAATGCTAAATAACAATGTAGATAAAAGATCTTAAGATTTTCGTCCGTGTGGCAATCAGCCTTTTAGCTTAACGCGACAGTCTTTGCTCTCGCACGAATGGCCAGGACCGTCCGGGTAGGTACCACGACCTCACAGAAGACCGGCGTGGAGTGTTACACTTCTGCGTTTCGTCTGGTGGGTGAGGTAGCCGGGGCCTTTACTAAAGTGTGGGCTACATATCTGGGAACTTACGGGTGTTGCAACTACTTGCCACCTTCTCACACAAAAAGGCAGGGAATATCTACCGGATCATAAAATGTGGTACCATGGGCGGCTTAGCTCGAGTAGGACTCACTTTTTGGAGAAATCCTTGAAGGCGAGACGCAGTTTGTTGGTCAGCCGGGTGGGCGGCTGCTTGCCCTCGGCCACGGGCGCCAGGAACACCTGGAAGTGATGGTTTAAGAATGTTTCAGTTCAACTATGTAAACGGAACAATCGTGATATAGTTGAACGAAAAAAAAAAGTTGATATTGTATTGATAAATAGTGTTGACAGATCAGTAAATTTGTATTACTTATTCTTTTATTTTAAAACGCGGCGGCGAAGTAACGGTACATTCCCACACGGGACAAGTATTTGTGCGACTAACAGATATTGGTTCCGGATCGGGGTGTTCGTTCTCAAGGAAGGTTTGTTGTATTGAAGGTTTTGTGAGGCGGGTTTTTTTGTTGTAAAAAACCTAGCCATACTTGTTTTGATCCCAACTAGGTGATAAGGGCGGGAGGATTGATGATATTTTAAAAAAAAAAAGCCAAATATGTAACCGACAAATTATATAGCATGGTGTTACAACCGTGAATAATCATAAAAAAGTTATATTTTTTATGATACTTGCCAATAGTAAATTGCGTAAGAAGTTAAACGTTAAAAAATCGACAATTAAAAAAATAATTTTCAAGCAAACTAATTAAGTAAAAAAGAAACAAAAAATTCATACATTCAGAGACTTTTTAATTCGTTATAACCACTTCGCGTTACAAGTCTCTCCTAACAGTATGTTTTATTCAACAAATTCATATGCTTCGTGACCTTTACAAATGAACTTTACGTTACAGTTTGATATGTAGGGATGTTCTAAAGTTATTCGTTATGGAAAAAAAATAATAACTGGGTAAATATTGATGTTTTAATGGAAAATTTAATAACTCCGTAAACATTGATGTTTAAATAAAGTAAATGTTTAATACAATTTAAAAATATTATCCCCTATATGTGTGTTGATTTAAGGCCCATTTACACGGTGCCAGTTTCTTGCCTGTTGTATACAATTAAATTGAAGCAATAAATGAGTTGCATGGTCTAAACAACAAATGGTCTTAACAATTATTGCGCGCAATTTATTGCATTCAATTATTGCTCTTGTATGTACAAGAAAATGGCATCGTGTAAATGGGCCCTTATGGTCGCGGTAGCAGCGGCATACAACGTATCGTGAGCAAGCGAATTTGTCTTGTTAGTCTTTTTTTTTTTCAGTTAGAGCATCTACGGCTTTACGACCCGAATGGCGTAGTGGGTAGTGTACCTGCCTCCTGCGCCAGAGGGTGTGGGTTCGATCCCAACTACTGGAAAAATATTGTGTGATGAACATAATGTTTATCTAGTGTCTGGGTATGTATCTATAATATGTATTTATTTACAAAAGAAAAGGATGTTTAAGTATGTTTATCAGTTATCTAGTACCCATAATACAAGCGTTGCTTAGTTTGGGTCTAGAGAATGTTGTGTAAGAATGTGTCCTTCAAATATTTATTTATGTATTTATCTGAGCCGTGATAGCCCATTGTGCGGGCGCTCGCCTTTAATTCAATATACTCGAGCAACCTGAGTTCGATCCCCGGTGCCATACACCAATGAAGTTTTTAACTTTAAGTGCTGACTTATCACGTGCTCCGCGGTGAAGGGAAACATTGTGAGGAAACCTGCATATTTTCGAAATAACAAAAACAAAATATATTTCGAAAATATGTGAAGTCCGCCAATCCGCAGTGGGGTCGCGTGGTGGACTATGCCCTGATACCCTCTATATAGAGGAGGCTTTTGCCCAGCAGTGGGAGATATATAGGCTGTTACTTTTTTTACTTTTATTTATCTATCTAGACAGGGCAGAGCATAGACAGGGAAGGTCGGTGACCTGCGCCAGTTCGAGGGGGCCCTGGTTGACGGTGGTGCCGATGCAGCCCTGCACCACCATCTGCAGCATCTTGGGGTCGGCCGGCTCCTGGCACGTGGCCGCCGCCAGCTCGCCGATCTGCGCAAATCTACACTTTTAGGGTTCCGCACCCAAAGGGTAAAACGGGACCCTATTACGCAAACGCCGCTGTCTGTCTGTCACCAGGCTGTATCTCATGCAGTTGAAATTTTCACACATGATGTATTTCTGTTGCCGCTATAATAACAAATACTAATTAACAGAATGAAAAATATTTAAGTGGGGTTCCCATACAACTGACTAGACTTTTTTTTTTGCCGTTTTTATAGATAATTGATCGTGCGCGAATCCGACTCGCACTTGGCCAGTTTTTTTACTGATTATAACACCTACATACTTCATCTACGATGACTTCATTATTTTGATTTCAGTCTACTTATCTGCCTAATGCGGTGTGTTGAAATTAGACCTCCAGAAGACCTAGACGAATCATGGTTACAAAACTTTACAGGCAAAAGGGAATTTAGATTTCATTAATATTAAAATCGTTCATGTGAGTTGGTCACGATAGCATTATAAATGACGATTGCAAATTAAATACTATGGAAATGATTTGAGATTGTACTCACTTTTTTCTGTATGTCTTCTATTGCCACTTCAATGGGCGATAGTATTATCTGCGTTCGCTGAACGACCTGTGTGAATACAATATTTATTTAATTCTTATTTTGCATAAATAAAAAAAAAAAAGAATTCGTTAAAGTTTCGTGCATATTTTCGAAACGACCTCGACCATTTCTGTTGATGGGGTCTTTCATTAATCACGTTATGTTTTTGTATAGTACGTAGCACTTTGCCAGGTTTAAGAATAGCCCCCCCAAAAATCACGCTATTTTTTTGAAAAAATAATCTCAGAATTTTAGAGTATTATTTTTAAATACAGCCAATTATAAACTAATTCTGGAAAATTAAGAGCCGTGAGAAAATGTCCGGAGAGATTTTTTTTTCTACCGGACGAGTAAAAAGTTGCCTGATGGCGCGTATGCTATATGCTATATACAGCGTGTCGTTACTATCGCGACAATAAATGAACACATGTCTAACACTACTTGCTAATAATCATAAAAAAATATTAACGTTAAACAAAATCCATAATTAAAAAATATATTTTTCAAACAAACTAATTAAGTAAAAAAGAAACAAAATTTGTAACATCCTATACAACTCGCGCCACAGCGTCTCATTACAGGCCTCTCCTTCTAGCAGTATGTTTTGTGTATGTAACCCATTCATATGCTTTGTGACCTTTACAAATGAACTTTACGTTACAGTTTTATACGTAAGGGTGTTCTAAAATTGTTTGTTTTGGAAAATTTAATAACTCGGTAAATATTGATGTTCGGAGAACGTAAATGTTTAATACAATTTTAAAAAGTTATCCTCTATATACGTGTTAATTTATTGTCGCGGTGGTGACGACACGCTGTATATTGCTCAACGCCCCCTTTCGCACTTTCTACGCGATATACGGATTCCTGACCTGGCTTGAATTAAGTCTAGTCTTCGCGTGCGCGGTGGGTGTACCCACCTGGATCCTGGTCTTGACGTAGGGGAAGTGGTGGGCGGTGGTGAGGACGGTCTTGCGCTTGCACTGCTCCGCCAGCTCGCCGTGGGCGCGCCCGCCCGCCGTGAACGGCGTCGCGTACATGAATCGCTCTGCGGCAGTACGGCAACGGCTCCTTGTCACTCCGCCTCACTTTTAGGGCTCCGCAACCACGTTTTAGGGCGGAACCCACGGAACTCGGGTGGAGTCACTCCGCCTCACTTTTGGGGCTCCGCAACCACGTTTTAGCGGGAACCCACGGAACTCGGGTGGAGTCACTCCGCCTCACTTTTGGGGCTCCGCAACCACGTTTTAGCGGGAACCCACGGAACTCGGGTGGAGTCACTCCGCCTCACTTTTGGGGCTCCGCACCCACGTTTTAGCGGGAACCCACGGAACTCGGGTGGAGTTTAATATATTGTAAACGTGCGCTCTTGTTCCTCTCGCCGCTCCTTCACAGGTCTATTTTTTTCTCGGACCGCTTTTTTATAGTGCTGATCTCTGCGCTTAATATTGAACAATATATTCGCCAAGCATTGCTCCAAATGCTAAATAACAATGTAGAAACGAGGCGTTAAGATTTTCGCCGTTGTGGCTATCGGCCGTTTAGCTCGGTGGCTAGAGCGTCAGGCCGCGAATGCCGAAGACGTGGGTTCGATTCCCACAGCGGCGACGATCTTTTCGTAATTTTTCTACATGTTTTAATCCCTATTAATATTATAAAGGTGAAAGTTTGCATGTACAGATGGATGTTTGTTACTCTTTCACGCAAACACTACTGAATGGATTTTAATGAAACTCTACCGTAATAAAGCTTATATATCAGAATATATATAACATCTGTCTTTCCGTCCGAATGTCACGCCTCCGGCCTATTGTGGCCGTGGTCGCGGGCAGCAGCCGGTATTGAAGGAAACCGCGGGCGCTCACTGATGTTGTAGTTCCTCTCGTAGTGGGTGATCCGCCTGCGCAGCTCGTGGGGCTCGAAGTAGGGCTCCACGTAGGTGATCTGGATGTAGGCCTTGTCGGGGTCCAGCGAGGCGGGGTCCACGATGTTCGAGTCCTTGATGATCACCACGTTCTCGCCACCGAAGCGGGACCCGTAGAAGTTCTGTTGTACATTAGTGATACCTCATTTCTTTATTAGAATGCGGCTGGTGAAACTCAATGGGACAAAAATCAACGTTTTAGTCAAGAAAATATAAAAACATTTCAGTAGCTGAAGATAGCTGGACTATTCCGAGGTATGTATTGATAAGCGAGAACTAAGATGAACATATTGTTTTTGCGGTAAACACGTCTGGAACAAGACATGACTGGCTGCGCCGATTTAGAGGCTGCTCTCAATGTGAGATTGTTACACTTCACGAAATGCCTTTTTCACTTTTATTTTTAACTGCTTACTCGAACACTTACCACGACTGTGATATCTATATAACCAATCTTCTATCTCAATAGATCGACAGAGTAGCAGAAGTAACAGAGTAGCAGAAATGATAGATCCCTTAGGGACACCCGCATTGATAGACATTGGCACGGGCGTAAAGTTCTCGCAACCAAGTCATAGAAACCGTTCACTTGATTACCTTCCCAACCATTTGTGGACTACCTTAGAAGGGAAAAATTTCCCTTTTCAATAACACTTAAATGTACCAATGTCTGTATAATCTATTCTCTCTCTCTAACCTACTATTGGAGCTGTCGGTCATATTGTCACCTCGAGGCGGCTGAAGATCTCTGGCAGCTTGGTGAGCGCGTGCTCCTTGTAGACGAACTCCTCGCCGGCCAGGTCGCCGAAGCGGCCGCCGTAGAAGGCCACGCGGAAGTACGAGCCGAACACGCGCTTGCCGTGCAGCTGCTCCACTCTGCCGAACGCCTCGCTCAGCTTCCTGCGCAGAGACGGAGCGCCCGGTCATCCGCTGGCCCTCAAGGGCGGCAACAGACGTGGACATCGACGGGGAAACAGTTAAAACGGGGCGCGACATTCAAAAGGTTCGTCCAGTCATCCGCTGCGCCTCCAGGGGAGTGACCGAAGTAGACATCGAAGGGAAACCCGTAAAACGGGGCGCGACATTCAAAAGGTTCGTCCAGGCATCCGCTGCGCCTCCAGGGGAGTGACCGAAGTAGACATCGAAGGGAAACCCGTAAAACGGGGCGCGACATTCAAAAGGTTCGTCCAGGCATCCGCTGCGCCTCCAGGGGAGTGACCGAAGTAGACATCGAAGGGAAACCCGTAAAACGGGGCGCGACATTCAAAAAGGTTCGTCCAGGCATCCGCTGCGCCTCCAGGGGAGTGACCCCGAAGTAGACATCGAAGGGAAACCCGTAAAAACCCGTAAAACGGGGCGCGACATTCAAAAGGTTCGTCCAGGCATCCGCTGCGCCTCCAGGGGAGTGACCGAAGTAGACATCGAAGGGAAACCCGTAAAACGGGGCGCGACATTCAAAAGGTTCGTCCAGGCATCCGCTGCGCCTCCAGGGGAGTGACCGAAGTAGACATCGAAGGGAAACCCGTAAAACGGGGCGCGACATTCAAAAGGTTTGTCCAGGCATCCGCTGCGCCTCCAGGGGAGTGACCGAAGTAGACATCGAAGGGAAACCCGTAAAACGGGGCGCGACATGCAAAAGGTTCGTCCAGGCATCCGCTGCGCCTCCAGGGGAGTGACCGAAGTAGACATCGAAGGGAAACCCGTAAAACGGGGCGCGACATTCAAAAGGTTCGTCCAGGCATCCGCTGCGCCTCCAGGGGAGTGACCGAAGTAGACATCGAAGGGAAACCCGTAAAACGGGGCGCGACATTCAAAAGGTTCGTCCAGGCATCCGCTGCGCCTCCAGGGGAGTGACCGAAGTAGACATCGAAGGGAAACCCGTAAAACGGGGCGCGACATTCAAAAGGTTCGTCCAGGCATCCGCTGCGCCTCCAGGGGAGTGACCGAAGTAGACATCGAAGGGAAACCCGTAAAACGGGGCGCGACATTCAAAAGGTTCGTCCAGGCATCCGCTGCGCCACAAGAGTAGTAACCAATATGGAGGTCGACGGGAGACCCGTTAAAATAGGGCAGGCGTCGGCTCATCGCAAGCGCAACATTCAAAGGTTACGCAGTTTCTCTTCTTTAAAGATCACGTCTTTTTTGTAATCTCAAACGAAGAGAATTTGTAATTACACTTTTTACACAGTTTCTCGTCTCTTATGTGAAATATTGGCGAACGAGTCGGTTGATTAGCAATGTCTGCAACACACCTAAGTAGCAGATGTGTTATGAACCGTTAGAGTGGGCCAAAATTATCCCAGTCAGCAGACGAAACGCTAACGTATAATTGTTTCACCCTCAGTCGGTCCTATTTCCCCGAACAAGCCTGCTGATTAATACTATCGCAAGATAAAATTTCGCTACATATTTTTTATTTCCTAATTTGAGGGTACGCAAAATAAAATGAAAAATCATCAATCACCATCGAGAAGAAGTTTTTAGCACCAAGATACACGCCGTCAGTGATGTCTCAATATAAGTTGGGGGTGTGGCACTCACCCGTGGATGTTGGCCAGCTTCTTATAGTCACGCTGCTCCTCTGCTATCGGGATCAGAACCTTGTACACCTCGTTGACGGCCTCGTACATTCCCGCAGTCATCAGCTCGCTGGCGGCGTGTTCCAACAACGCCTGTGCCCAGAATTGCCAGAGCAAACAGTCAGCCAGACGATACACAAAGGAGTGACGGAGAGCGTGATCGAAGTGAGAGATGATCCAGCGGTTTAACGATCTGAGTTCTCAGGCTTATATTCTATTATTCGCTTTTATTAAGGCGAAAGATAATTTCGAACTTATATGAGAAACATTTACGACCTGGACCTCGTCAAATAAAAATAAAGCCATTGAATCCGATTAAGAGAAACTTTGCAGATTCCCCCCCCCCCCCCCCCCCCCCGCCCCGGCGAGTACTAGTAGCTCCAGGTGCTTGACTGAGGTGCAAACGCGGTAACGACGCAAACAAATCCCCGCCCCTGGAGCGCACCTACAGCTCCTGGTGCGTGGGGTGCAACCGCAGTAATTACGCAAACAGAACAGCTCCCTCCCTGGTGCGCACCTGCAGCTCCTGGTGCGTGAGGTGGTGGTGCAGCGCGTCAGCGCAGCTCTCGTCGAGCGCGTTGTGCGTGACGCGCTGCAGCAGCGCGGCGCCGCGCCCGCCCGCGCCCAGCTGCTCGGCGGCCAGCGCCGCGCCGTGCACCAGGCACATGCCCGCCTCCAGGTGGTTCGAGCGCTGCGCCCGCACGGACAACACATTCCGAATTCGAACGTCTCTCGATTCGATACGCAAGCCGCGGCCGAATTCCAAATTCAAACGTGTCTGTTCGATAGAGTGGCCGCGAGCGAATTCCAATTCCAAATTCAAACGTGCCTATTCGATACAGAGGCCGCGGGAGAATTCCAAATTCGAATTTCAAATGTATCTATTCAATACGGAGGCGCGGGCAAATTTAAATTCCAAATTCAAATGTCTCTATTCAATACAGAGCCGCGGTCAATACAAATTCAAAGCGTGTACTTATGTGCGCGCGTGAGAAGATACACTTCATTGGCATCATTAAAAATTGTTTTTAATTTGCATGCAAATAATTAATAACAATAAAATAATAAAAAGATTGGTAAAGGATAAAAACGATAAAATCATGAAAGCGCTATCTACATTCTTTATTGAGTGCTGTAACGGGCGAATTTTATTGAGTACATGCCGCCATCTATAATAAGCGGTTTAGGGGGCAGCTTCAAAGGTGTTACTTTTGTGTTACACTGATGCGCGCGCATCTTAAAATTTCACTCTCATCATCTTTTCCAAACGCGCCGAAAGAAGCGTAACTTCTAAAAGGAGAGAAGCGTAACTTCTCGAAACCCTCCACGAGCACTGAACACTCGCCTCCATGTGCTTCTGCGCCATGTTGTTGAGCCAGGTGAGCCGCAGGTCGGGGCTGTGCTGGTAGCCGCGCGCGATGCGGTGCATCAGGTCCAGCAGCATCTCGGGGTCCTGCTGGAACTCCTTCATCTTCACCGTGTCGCTCAGGATCATGTGCAGGTTGAACACGAGGTCCTTCACCTGAGTACGTAAAACGACGGGAAATCCTCACTTCTATATTATAAATGCGAACGTTTGTATGTATAGATGGATGTTTGTTAGTCTTTCACGCAAATACTACTGAATTAATAAATAATATAGCTTATGCATCAGAATAACACATATATAAAGATATTGTGTGAATTGTACAAAATATAGGTAATGAAAGTGTCAATTAAGTAGTGTATAATAAAAAGCTCATTGTTAATTCCCTCTGGCCGCGCGGGTGAAGCCGCGGATAACAGCTAGTGCGTAATATGTATCGGTCTTGCAAGTAAATCTTTAAATCAACGTTCTCTAGTCCCAAACTGAATAAGGCTTACTACTACGCAACGCTTATTATGCAACGAGTACTAGATAACTGATAAGCATACTTTAACATACTTTTCTTTTGTAAATTAACTATTATATATTTTTTTTTTATTGCGAAAAGTTGTCAAACGAGCAGACGGTTCACCTGATGATAAGTGAATACCGCTGCCCATGGAAATCTGCCACACCCGAGGGTTTCAGATGCGTTGACAACGTTTTGAAAATTGGGCTCCGGCTACCTCACGCACCAGACCAAACGCGAAAGTATTATACTTCCACTTTACGCCGGTCTTCTGTGACGTCGTGGTACTTACCCGGACGGGCCTGCCCGTTCGTGCAACAGCCGAGGCTGCTGCGTGCCCCTACCACCATAATTACATCATATTTAAATATAACTTTTATATATAAATAATTTTAGAACATCCAATAACGTATAAAGTTGTAACGTAAAGTTCATTTGTAAAATTCACAAAGCATATGAATTGCTAGAATGCATTTAAAAGAGATGAAACATACTGTTAGAAAGAGGGACTTCTTATGCAACGTTGTGGCAACGAATCAAAAAGTTACTGAGTGTATGAATCAATTAACTGTAGTTGTATAGGATGTTACAAAATTTTGTTTCTTTTTTAATTAATTAGTTTGTGTGAAAATATATTTTTCTCAATTATGGATTATTTAACGTTTATAATTTTTATGATCATTGGCAAGTAGCGTTATAAGTGTGTCCATTCATTTTAGCGTCTGTAATGCAATACTGTAGAAACAATAAGACACTGGAAATACACTATGTAAAAGAGTAACAGCCTACAAATGTCCCACAGCTGGGCAAAGGCCTCCTCTGTAAAGAGCAGCCACTGCGGATTGGCGGACTTCACATATATTAGAAATATTTTTTTTTTGTTATTATTTCGAAAATATGCAAGTTTCCTCACGATGTTTTTCCATCACCGATGAGCACGTGATAAGTCAGCACTTAAAATGGACAATTTCATTGGTGCCGACTGGGGATCGAACTCGGGTTGCTCGAGTATATTGAATTAATTTTTTTTATTTAATTAGTAAAAAACATTGCCCTCACTTTAGGATAACATATGCGAAATAGTAGTACAAATAGTTGTCCCGTGTGAGAATCGAACCCACCGCCCCCGACGCGAAGCCGAATCGAATTAAAGGCGAGCGCCCGGGCACTGAGCTACATAGTACTATTCCAGCAGCGGGGATCGAACCCGCACCCTGCTCACCTGCTCCGGGAAGGAGGTGTCCTGCAGCTCGAGGTCCCTCTCTGCGTAGACCAGCACCGTCTTGAGCGCCCTGCGCAGCGCCTCCTCGCTGAACGTGGCGGAGGTGCCCACCAGCGAGGACAGCGACATCGTCACCTGCATCTTCACGCGGCTGAAGTTCTGGGGGCGTGGGCGAAAAACGAAACGATATTACACGAAACGATAATGACCATACAAATAGAACAATTTTTTTTTTTTACCGCGGGCACTAGATAGCCGATGGACAAATGTTTCCTTTATAAATACATTTACACAGCGGATATATTATCGTCCAGACATTGTAAATAAACTATCTATGTTTTTCCAATATTGGAGGGATCTGACCACAGTCTGTCGCAAGAAACAGCGGTGGGTGGTTGCGGTGGTGGGTGGGACTCACGTTGCCGAGCTGGTAGTGCTGGCGCATGAGCGCGTAGAGCGTGGCCGAGGCGTGGGCGCGCGTGGCGGCCGTGAGCGCGGCGCAGTGGCGCAGCAGCACGCGGCAGATGCCCGACTCCTCGCCGCAGCACGACCAGCCCAGCTGCCACGGCCCGTCCCGTTAGCTGTGTGGCAAGGGCTGGCAGTCGCCGCCCAGCCCCCTCCGCACGGATCAAGCGTGTGGTGTGGCGAGTCGACATCGTTTTTTAATGTGATGTCATAATGCAGGAAGGGGTTAACCCTTTAAATTGTTTTTTTATAGACAAATATCTGTGATTTTTGTTTTGGTTTTTCATGCTTATCTGCATTAATATCTAAAATATGAGTGTGTTCACGAGTCACGCTAAGGCATGGTGGGCGGTATGTTCACAATTCAATGTTAAGTCAATGTTTATGTATCGAGTGTGTATTATTGTCACTGGAGGTCGCTACGATCAACATAGGGCACAGTACATAAGGCGGAACAAAGTTGTAATCATATATTGTCATCCGATACCCAGTAAAATAGATTTGTAGATCGAACCTTAGATCAGTACACAGTGTGGTTTTATTTCGCATTCCTAATAGTGTGCACACCAGTCAAAATTAATACTAAGCGTCGGTATTAAACAGAGTTTAATATACTTTTTGATGGATATTAATTTTTATAGTGCTATTTTCTGCACAACATGAAATTTGAATATTATATTTTTATATATACATTTTTTGTTGTTTTGTTGTGTTAAAAAAAATGGACAAATTGAATTGATAAATTGAAAAAAAAAAAAAAAAATTTCGTCACTGTCAAACGGTAAACGTTGTATTGTACCGTATTGTATTGTATCAATACGTATCGATGCGAAACAATCATCTGTGTGTCATACGATTAGTTGTCGCACGCGGGGATCGAACCCGCGACCACCGACGACGAAGCCCTTGACTGCGCCACAGAGTCCTCAATGGCAGTTTGTTGGCTGTCGGGACCGCTGGTCAACTTAATTTCGCCGTTTGTTACGCGTTGCGACGATGGTCACCTTAGCGATGAGCGCCCTCACGGAGGCGAACATGTGCTGCAGCACGGCCGCGCTCTGGTTCCGCTGGAGGGCGCGCAGAACCACGCACAGCGCGGCGCTGCACGCCGACTGGCCCCATTCCAGCCCGCTCACAGACTGAGCAATCATGGATTATTTCATTTATTTTGTTTATTTTAACACGCACCTTTTTTTTATTGACGAAAGACAATATCGACTTCCAATATCTCGCTCTGTATTAATTTTACAATTGATTTTCAGGAGCTCTCCAAGTATATGTATACTATGGAGGCCAAGATGCAGCAGCGATGAAATTAATATGGGATCGCGTGGGAAGCACCAGCTTTGAAATAAAAATAAAAAAATAAAAAAAGAATCATCAAAATCGAAAACTCTGAGGTAACAAACATCAAAAAAAAAATACAGTCGATTTGAGAAACTCCTCCGTTTTTAAAGTCGGTTGAAAATTATCCTAATTCGCTTGAAGTAGCATTCAATATATCTTAATCTAATAAATATAGTTGTTTAATACTCAGAATATAATAGCCTTAATTGCTCATTGTGTGGGCGTTTGCTTTTAATTCAATATACTTGAGCAGCCTTAGTTCGATGAAAGGTGTCGACAACAACGGAATTGCAAAATCTAAGTGCTGAATTATCATGCGCTGAGCGGCGAAGAGAAACATCGTTAGTATATTTCTCCAAACAATAACAAAAAAAATGTTTCGAAAACATGTGAAGTCCGTCATCATGCCCTAACACCGTCTGTATATAGGGAGTGGGATACGCAGAGGCTGCAACTTTGCACCCCGATAGGCGTCGCACGGGCAAGACCGAAGAGGTCTTTACCGAGCGCGCTCACCATCAGCTACGTCTATTGAACGAAACGGGTGGGAATCTAGGGGGAGCGTCGCCCACCTGGACGATGGCCTCGAGCGCGTGCAGCAGCGCCAGCGCCAGCTCTGCGGCGAGGGCGGCGGCGAGGGCGGGCTGGGGGGGGGGGGGGGGGGGGGGGCGGGAGCGCGCCCCGCCGCGCGCCCACTCCTTGCGCCACCGCTCGCGCCCGCCGCGCGCACCGCACGCGCCGCGCCCGCACTGCGCGCCTGCGGGGGCCGTTGCCTCGTATCTTCTTGTATTTACTCATGTTTTTGCTTCCAGTCCCGAGACTATTAAAGCTTCATCTGACGCAGAACCGGTGGGCTAGCCGGAACCCACGGGTTTGGGCCCCCCGCTGTGGGTAGGGCCGCGCTATGCTGATGCGTGCGTTTAACTATGGTACGTCATCTAAGGGCCATCGAGGTCGTGGTTCGGACCGAAACCCCGATGGCCGTCGACTGTGCATTTAGCTAATCGGTGGCCGGGGGCGGTGAGAACCGCCCCGGAACGCGGGTGTACCTTGTGTACGCGTTGTGTTGGTCTCGCCGTGCTCGGAGGCGAGGGCGAACTAGTGTGTTTGTTGTTGCACTAACTGTGGGTGTAGTGTTGTCCGGCGGGACCCCCGTTGCCGCGTTACCGGTTGCCCAGGGCCGGACCGGGAGGGGGGACAGGGTCACGGACCGTGCCCGGTTCCCGTGTCGACGAAACGAGGCGTTACCCTCGCGAGCCGCCGCGTTACAAGTCGTTATGGAAAGTTACGGAGCTATGAAAATGACGGCCGTTCGGAGAATATTGGAACCGGGCATTGGTCGACAGTCGCCGTTAACTTGGACAGAGCTTGTTTTTTTTTTTCTTTTTAATGTTCTTTTTACTGACAGGGGTCAGTCCTTCTTCGTTCTCCTGTACTAATTCATTGATTAATACGATATGTTGAGCATATTTTTAATGAAATCGGCCAGGTTTTTTCCGACTACCCGCACGCCATACTGACGTGGGCTTCTTAGGAATAATCCCTCAGATCTGGAACAACCATCTGTCCATGACACATTTCGTGCGAATGGCTTCTAAAGCAAACCAATATAGCAGTTTTTGTCCAATGCCTTAGCGTCATTGAAAAACAGCGCACCTAATAGACCAGTCAAGGCTCTTTAAGACGTGCCCTTTGAACGAAAGACCCGTTTGATTTAAGACTATTGGGAACTGGTCGGAGAACTGCGTCGTTTATTCGACTTCTATATGATAATAACTATAGCTTATTAATAAGCACATTGCAATACTGGTCTGCAGTGGACCTAAGAGATTGTATGACATTATTGTTCAAGCAGTCGTGAACTGTAGCGAGTTTAAATTGTTTTATTATATAACAAAGTAAAAATGCATATTTCTAGTTTGTTTATATATATACACATTGTATCACAAATCAACTTCAATAAGAGATAAGAGTCTTTAGTTGTGTCAATGTAAATAGCGTGTCTTTCCAACCCTTTCGTCGCATGATGAAGTCGTTGCGGGCGGAGCCCTGACCCAGGATGACATCTTCCAACTTTGCCTTGATGTCCGTAGTCTTCCGTACGTTCTGCTGTGCGCACTTCAGGATCTCTTTGCGACCCTGCAAAAGAAACACCGTACGAACCATGTTACTGAGCCGACAACAAAAAAAAAAGTTTAGACAACACTTTCAAACAGGTTGTACCATGAACAATTGTCCTATCATTTGGAATGGAAACCTATGGAAAATTATGTATCATTCGTTGTCCTGTTGGTATTGGTGCCTAACGCCTAACAACACACATAATATCAATATAAACAAACATATAGACACAACTTTTAACACATAAACACTTTCTATTCACTTTAGATTCGTTATTCACTGGTGTTAGTTACTCCTGTTATTTAAGCAGAGGTCAATAAGCATAGTCAATCAAACGCATACGAAATACTAACATTCGTTGGAATCTTACCCTCCTGTTAGCCAGCACTAGCACTAGCCTGTTAGCCCTACGCAAACATTTGCACATTGTGCTTTCGATCCTTAAGCTTCACGCACACAAACGCACTTAGCGCTCTTGACACCTAAGCCTCACGCACACAAACGCACTTAGCGCTCTTGACACCTAAGCCTCAAGCACACAAACGCACTTAGCGCTCTTGAGACCTAAGCCTCACGCGCACACACGCGCACCTCGCGCTCTTGACCCTTAAGCCTCACGCACACAAACGCATTTAGCGCTCTTGAGACCTAAGCCTCACGCACACAAACGCACTTAGCGCTCTTGAGACCTAAGCCTCACGCACACGCGCGCACCTTCCGCTCTTGACCCACGCACCTTGTACTCCTGGCACTTGAAGCAGAGGTCGACGAGGGCCAGCAGCACGTGCAGCCTCTGCGCGGGCAGCTCGGCCACGCACGCGCTGAGCGCCGAGCGCTCCGTCCACTTGAGCACCCACACTAGGCACATGAGCAGGTTGCGGCTGGTCTCGCTGTTGAACGGCGGCCGCCCGTTCTGCTTCCGGTGGGTTAAATTATTAAAGGAACGCCAGTAACTCACTTTCTGTAGGTAATGCAACGGCTCGTAAGAAAAACGCCTTGTTTTATTAATAAAGGAACCGGGCGTACACTCCTTTTATCTAAAAGTCGTTATGAAAGTAACGAAGCTATGTAACTAACGGCCGTTCGTTGAATATAGGAACCGGGGATAAGGCTTCCGCAGTCGAGTAAGACGGAGCCAATGGTTCCCTACTTGATGGTGTCAGTATAGACTATTTGATACGAAAATGCTCTAATAATCTGTCAGCAAAGCATGATGTGAAATTGTTTTGAAAAATAATGGCCAACAAAATTTATTTGAATGCTTAACGCATACCTGTTTGAAATCATCGGGTGAAGGCATCGAGTAGAGATTGCCGAATTGACTTAGCTCCCCGTCAAGTTGGTGTGATTCTGTAAAAGAGTACTGAGTTAAAAACATTCTGCACAATTAAGAAATACAGTTTGAAAAACCAAATAATAGATACGTTATTTAAAGTCCTGTATGTACTGTACGGATAGATAAACATCTAATTGTTTTGTAACGTTTTAGCGAGCAGATTTCTTACACTCCAAAAACAATTTCTCGCTTTTTCTACGAGCGGATACGAAATTTAGTTTCGAGAGTTCGGTACAACAACGAGAGTATACGCTTCGAGTGCGGGGGGAGGGGAGGGGAGGGGGGGCGGGGCGAGGAGAGAGGCGAGCACCTTTGGGCGAGGGGAAGCCGCAGTGCAGCTGCGGGTGGGCGTCCATGACGTGCGGGGGGAGGGGAGAGGCGAGCCACCTTTGGGCGAGGGGAAGCCGCGGTGCAGCTGCGGGTGGGCGTCCATGACGTGCGGGGGGAGGGGAGAGGCGAGCACCTTTGGGCGAGGGGAAGCCGCGGTGCAGCTGCGGGTGGGCGTCCATGACGTGCGGGGGGAGGGGAGAGGCGAGCACCTTTGGGCGAGGGGAAGCCGCGGTGCAGCTGCGGGTGGGCGTCCATGACGTGCGGGGGGAGGGGAGAGGCGAGCACCTTTGGGCGAGGGGAAGCCGCGGTGCAGCTGCGGGTGGGCGTCCATGACGTGCGGGGGGGAGGGGAGAGGCGAGTACCTTTGGGCGAGGGGAAGCCGCGGTGCAGCTGCGGGTGGGCGTCCATGACGTGCGGGGGGGAGGGGAGGAGGCGAGCACCTTTGGGCGAGGGGAAGCCGCGGTGCAGCTGCGGGTGGGCGTCCATGACGTGCGGGGGGAGGGGAGAGGCGAGCACCTTTGGGCGAGGGGAAGCCGCGGTGCAGCTGCGGGTGGGCGTCCATGACGTGCGGGGGGAGGGGAGAGGCGAGCACCTTTGGGCGAGGGGAAGCCGCGGTGCAGCTGCGGGTGGGCGTCCATGACGTGCGGGGGGAGGGGAGAGGCGAGCACCTTTGGGCGAGGGGGGAAGCCGCGGTGCAGCTGCGGGTGGGCGTCCATGACGTGCGGGGGGAGGGGAGAGGCGAGTACCTTTGGGCGAGGGGAAGCCGCGGTGCAGCTGCGGGTGGGCGTCCATGACGTGCGGGGGGAGGGGAGAGGCGAGCACCTTTGGGCGAGGGGAAGCCGCGGTGCAGCTGCGGGTGGGCGTCCATGACGTGCGGGGGGAGGGGAGAGGCGAGCACCTTTGGGCGAGGGGAAGCCGCGGTGCAGCTGCGGGTGGGCGTCCATGACGTGCGGGGGGGGGGGGGGAGAGGCGAGCACCTTTGGGCGAGGGGAAGCCGCGGTGCAGCTGCGGGTGGGCGTCCATGACGTGCGGGGGGAGGGGAGAGGCGAGCACCTTTGGGCGAGGGGAAGCCGCGGTGCAGCTGCGGGTGGGCGTCCATGACGTGCGGGGGGAGGGGAGAGGGCGAGTACCTTTGGGCGAGGGGAAGCCGCGGTGCAGCTGCGGGTGGGCGTCCATGACGTGCGGGGGGAGGGGAGAGGCGAGCACCTTTGGGCGAGGGGAAGCCGCGGTGCAAGCTGCGGGTGGGCGTCCATGACGTGCGGGGGGAGGGGAGAGGCGAGCACCTTTGGCGAGGGGAAGCCGCGGTTGCAGCTGCGGGTGGGCGTCCAGGGCGGGCGGGGGGAGGGGAGAGGCGAGCACCTTTGGGCGAGGGGAAGCCGCGGTTGCAGCTGCGGGTGGGCGTCCATGACGTGCGGGGGGAGGGGAGAGGCGAGCACCTTTGGGCGAGGGGAAGCCGCGGTGCAGCTGCGGGTGGGCGTCCATGACGTGCGGGGGGGGGGGAGGGGAGAGGCGAGCACCTTTGGGCGAGGGGAAGCCGCGGTGCAGCTGCGGGTGGGCGTCCATGACGTGCGGGGGGAGGGGAGAGGCGAGCACCTTTGGGCGAGGGGAAGCCGCGGTGCAGCTGCGGGTGGGCGTCCATGACGTGCGGGGGGAGGGGAGAGGCGAGTACCTTTGGGCGAGGGGAAGCCGCGGTGCAGCTGCGGGTGGGCGTCCATGACGTGCGGGGGGAGGGGAGGGAGAGGCGAGCACCTTTGGGCGAGGGGAAGCCGCGGTGCAGCTGCGGGTGGGCGTCCATGACGTGCGGGGGGGAGGGGAGAGGCGAGCACCTTGGGCGAGGGGAAGCCGCGGTGCAGCTGCGGGTGGGCGTCCATGACGTGCGGGGGGAGGGGAGAGGCGAGCACCTTTGGGCGAGGGGAAGCCGCGGTGCAGCTGCGGGTGGGCGTCCATGACGTGCGGGGGGAGGGGAGAGGCGAGCACCTTTGGGCGAGGGGAAGCCGCGGAGCGCCTGCGGGTGGGCGTCCATGACGTGCGGGGGGAGGGGAGAGGCGAGCACCTTTGGGCGAGGGGAAGCCGCGGTGCAGCTGCGGGTGGGCGTCCATGACGTGCGGGGGGAGGGGAGAGGCGAGCACCTTTGGGCGAGGGGAAGCCGCGGTGCAGCTGCGGGTGGGCGTCCATGACGATGCCGAGCAGCGGCAGGTAGAGCGCCGCCACGCGCGCCTTGAGCGGCGCCGCGGCCAGCCGCGGGTCGGCGTCGTGCGCCGTCAGCAGCGCCAGCACGCCGTTCACGGCCGCGCACTGCAGCACCGGGCTCCTGGGCGCATGGTTAGGAGCCGTTGCCGCCTTTCAATAGAGTGGCCTACGTGACTCAGGAAAACGTACTTACACTTCTTTCGGCGCGTTTGGGGAAAACGATAAAGGTGAACTTTTAAGATAATACTTCCGATCCAATCAGCCTTTTGTACGTACGATCTTCCGCTTTCCTCGTCCAGCCACTACCAGCGACCTTTCTCAGGTCATCGGTCCACCTGGCAGGGGGACGTTCGACACTACGTTTTCCGAGATAATACTTAATACTTAATAAGATAATACTTAACTACCTAACTACCAAAAATAATTGGTGAGAGAGGGCGCTACTTGAACGTACATACATCGTCTCTGAACATAAAATAAAATTAAAATTTAACAACGCATTAAATTCATTCAAAAAGTACAGTGTTAGTGAAACGTAAGTGAAGGATAGCAGTGAGAGTGTGGACTACAGGAAATCTGATCAATTACCTAACAAACAAGGTCAAAACTTTGGGTGCATGATTATTTTGCGAATCTCTCACGAATTCAGTGAATTAGTTGCAGGCAGTTTGTGAATAAAGCGGTGAACTAAGTGCTACAATTTTAATTTTAATATTCTACAAGAAATCACAAGCTAAGTACCTAAAGGTAAAATTAAATTAAGTTCACTGTGATTTGATACAGTCGGTAGTCTTAGAATAATAAGCACCGTCTTTACTTTCAACAATATACAAACTCGACTTTACTAAAAGCAAAATTTACTGTCTACGTAACAAGATAAATAGCTCAGTTGACAGACGAGAGCCCCAAACTGCAGTACCCGAGTTCGAATCCCATCCGACGTCCATTACACTTTTTGTTCATTATTCAGTTACTTTATAAAATTAATTGAACACAAATATAAGTAAAGTTATTTGGTATCATAAGTTAATAACAACAATTGCCTTCAATAATGAATATTCAAAGATGCGCTGGTTGCCCTAATACTTTAAAAGGAATATCGTTCTTAAAGTGCTGCAGATGCTCAGACAATTACCACTACACTTGCATTAATTACAAAAAAGAGGATTACAATAGTTTGACTAAAGACTTCAAGGAAACCTGGGTGTGTCCATCTTGCCGTTGTAAGGAGCCCAAACGTGGCGACAATTCAAGTACACCAACCAATTCGTTCAACATCAAAGAACCCTGATATTTCTGTAGTATCACAATACGAACACGACAACGTTACTGTGCGCTCAGGACCACGTAGTGTTTCTCGTTCCTGTACTTGCTTATCCGCCGATATTATACGAGAAATAATTAGAGAAGAGCTAGATCGAAAATTCAACACAGAGGTGAAGGAGATAAAATCAAAGCTGTACAATTTGGAGCAATCATTAGCCTTCTTCACTGCAGAACAGTCCAAGATTACCAGTGAGTGTGAGACACAAAGGGCTGCAATTGTAAAACTACAAAAAGACAACGAGTTATTACAGAGCACTGCCAAAAATCTGGGTCATCGCCTAAATCAATTTGAACAGTTATCTCGTGCAAACAATTTAGAAATACAGTGCGTACCCGAACATAAAAACGAAAACTTGTATAGCATAGTACATCAACTCGCTAACACAATTAAGTGTCCAATAACGGACTTCGACCTGCAATACTGCAATCGCATCGCGAAATTTAACACCAGCAGTCCTAGGCCACGTTCGATCCTGGTAAAATTTGGCTCTCGTCGACTACGTGACACTTTCTTAGCTGGTGTGATTAAGTACAATAAAAACAACAAAGACAATAAGCTAAATACAGGTCACTTAGGTTTTGGTGGTGGAGACAAGACAACCCCAGTATTCGTGTCAGAGCATCTCACTTCGGATACAAAATTGCTGCATGCTGCTGCTCGGCACAAGGCCAGAGAACTAAATTACAAATTCGTGTGGGTGCGTGACGGCAAAGTGTTTCTAAGAAAATCTGACAGTTCGAGCTTTATCTTCGTGAAGGACGGGGACATCTTGAAGAACCTAACATAAAAAAAAATAGTAATATACATTTATATAGTGTACTGTAATTTTGGAGCATTACTTTCTCTTTGGCTTGCATCTGTTTTGTTATTAATGTTAAATATTTACTATCAAAATGTACGGGGCTTGAGAACTAAGACAATCGAATTTTTTAATAATATTGTTTGTAATGATTATGATGTTGTGATTCTAAGTGAAACCTGGTTAAATGACAGTATTTTCGATTCTGAATTGTTCGACAATCGCTATTCTGTTTACAGGCGCGATAGAGAAACTAGTGGATTTCACGAGAAAAAAAATGGTGGAGGTGTACTTATTGCTATCTCAAGACGCTTTAATTCTATGCGACTACAGGCTTTTGAGTCTAAGTGTGAAGACCTCTGGGTAGCATTAGAGTGTTACGGTGATAACGGTAGTAAGGAACTTCTTTACTTGTGTGCAATTTACCTTCCACCAAATATACAGAGGCATATCTTAGATGAATTCCTTAATAACTCTACCAGAGTGCTGGACCAACACAATATCTCGAACATAATGCTTGTAGGAGACTTTAATTTGGGATCAATAACTTGGAACTGTTCAAACAATAATTACGCCACTACATACATGGACGCAAATAATAGTACATACTCTACCCTTCTCTTAGATTTCGTAGAGCTGAATAATTTAAAACAGTTCAATCTTAATTTAAACAACAAAGGTAAAATTTTAGACTTGGTATTGAGCAACATCAATGTATCCAATCTCAGTGTTACTAGTATCCCTCTATCCATCGTTGATCCATTGCATCCACCACTGGAATTTGTTGTATCCATTTACTACGATAATAATAATTTACCGCATAACCTCTCGGCTCGCTACTGCTTCTTTAAGGCTGACTACGATAAGATCACGATGGACCTCAGCAAGGTACGTTGGAATGACCTATTTCAAACTTGTAAAACGGTTGATGACATGCTTGATGAATTTTACAAGTGCCTTAGAGATATTATCGAAATCCATGTTCCCAGGTCTCATCCTAAATCGAATAAATATCCCGTTTGGTTTTCACAGAACTTGAAACGAATGTTGAGAGAAAAACTCAAATATAAAAATAAATTACGAAAGTTTAGTAACAATCCTCTTGATAAACTTTGCTTCGAATTAGCAAGGAAACGTTGTGTTCAATTAATGACCCAATGCTACAAAAATTACATTAACGGGCTTGAACAGAACCTACGTTCCAACCCTAAGTTTTTTTGGACATTCATAAAAAACAAAAAAAGGAGGGACTAGCCACTATCCAGCTCAAATGACTTTAAACAATAACACAGCTACGAATGGCAAAGGTATTTGCAATCTGTTTGCTGAGTACTTTTCATCCATGTATAGACACGACACACCCCTGTTTCTACATACACTACTTACGCCCAAACATTATCTACCAATAATTACATAACCTCTATCAAGTTTAGACACGACCAGGTTTGGAAGGTTTTAAAAAGACTCGATGTATCTAAGGGTGCTGGATCTGATGGAGTACCAGCAATTTTTGTGAATAAATGTGCCTCGGCTCTGGCTAGACCTTTATGCCTCATCTACAATAAATCCATCAATACTGGCACCTTCCCTTCCCATTGGAAGACAGCACTAATTGTCCCATTATTTAAGAATGGCGATAAAGATAATGTGCGAAACTATAGACCCATTTCTATCCTCCCAGTATTTGCTAAAGTGTTTGAACAGCTGCTTCACCCTTTTCTGACTTGGCATTTTAAACACTTCATTCACAGCCGGCAGCATGGCTTTATCAGAAACAGATCCACCATAACTAACCTGGTATCTTTTGTTAACGACGTAAAGCCTGATTGTTGATTCTCGCTCATCAGTGGAAGTAGTCTACACTGACTTCAGCAAGGCCTTTGATCGAGTGAGTCATCAAATTCTAGCACGAAAAATCTCTGCGTTTGGTATCGGCGAACCCTTATTGGGATGGTGCAATTCATATCTGTCGCATCGTAAATCCCTGGTTGTAGTCAATGGCTACAGATCTGATCCTTTCACTGTGTGTTCTGGTGTCCCACAGGGATCTCATCTTGGCCCACTTTTATTCAATGTCTTCATAAATGACATTAGTGACTGCTTCCTTAATACAAGCTATTATTTATTCGCTGATGATTTGAAGTTTTTTAGAATCGTTGATACCTTCTCAGATTCAGCTTTATTACAAGAAGACCTTGTCCGTCTAGAGGCTTGGTGTGATAAAATCAGATGGATTTAAACATCTCTAAGTGCCTTGTGATGCGCTTTTCCAGAAAAATGTCTAATTTGGATTGCAAATACATCGTCAAAAACCAGGAGTTGTCAAGGGTCGATCATGTTAGAGACTTGGGAGTGTTGCTCGATAGCAAAATGCGATTTAATCTCCACATAGACAACATTTGTTCTAAAGGTTTTAGAAGCCTTGGTTTCGTTCTACGAAACACTAAAGATTTCAAAAGCTCCAAGATCAAGATCTTATTGTACAACGCTCTCGTACGCAGTGGCTTAGAGTATGGTTGCGTCGTTTGGAATCCTAAATATAACGTTTACGCGAAAAGACTGGAAAGCGTTCAAAAAAGGTTTCTGTGGCACCTGGCTTACTCTTGTAATTTGGGGAAAACCATTACGTCATACTCTGATCGACTGAAACATTTCGGAATGAGTTCTCTGTGCGATAGAAGGGCAATGCTCGAAATTCTCTTCCTGCAAAAGCTTGCCAATGGCACTATTGATGCTCCTTATCTGCTGTCCCTTTTAAACTTTACCGTTCCCTCAAAGCTGCCCCGACGCTCTAGATTTAATATTTTCTCGAACTGTTCATGTAAATCCAACCTTGGACAGCAAGCGCCTTTAAACAGAATGGTTAGGAATTACAATAACATCTCGAGAACTTCTACATCGGACTTGTTTTCAGATAGTGCCGCCAAGCTAAAGAAAGAATTGCTAAAATTATTTTCCGAAAATACTATATTACTTTAATAATCACGGATTGTTGTTACTCATTTTGACTGTTTTCGCCTGGTTTATTGTCAAGCAGATTTCCTGATCTCCCCATGTACTTGTAGAAACTTAAATAGTATTATTAGTCCATGTATAAATCATACCTAAATTTATTGCATAATCATACCTAAATTCATTGTTTATCACTGTCTTTAATGTTTTTTACTGTTATTTCCTTTATCAATTATTTGTTTTTAATTTATTAATTCTTGTTTTAATTTTGGATTTTGTAACAAAAAAAAAATATCTTTAACTGTATTTTTCTCGCCCATTATATTGCATGCTGTCAGCGCCTTTAATTGTAATGACACTAACGAACAGTTGATGTATATTTATTTTCCTAAGTCTTAAATAGTGTACATTATGTTGGCGTTCTTTAAATAAATAAATAAATACCTAAAAGCGCAACCAATTTCCGTACAATTCCGTGGCAAACAATAACGACTTCTAGAAATTTACATAACATTCAGAATTATTTTAATTGAACCGTTATCGATTGCTTTTATTTTATTTGTTTTTTCACAAACAAAGCTTACAAACAAATTTACTTATTTTTCTTCGGTTTCACTAACTAAAGTATAACTATTTGCGTAAATAAGTACACTCGCACGGTTTTTTGTGTGATAACGTGAAGTGGACGTATTATATTATTGTATTTCGTCTGCTGAGCGAGGTAAACAGGGTCCACCTTTTAATATACAGGTTGTCAACGCATGTGCAAGCCCTCGGATTTTATATATGTCCATGGACAGTAGTGACCGCTTCAAATTGGGTGAACCGCTTGCTCGCTTGCACATGCAACTTTTCACATAAAGCAAAAAGTGTCAACTTAAATAGTAACAATTACTTCTTACATGTCGCATCAGTGAGCGCCTATCTCGTAAACATTAAGAACTGCAAATAATCGTCTTGAAGATTCTTTGGTCCATAGTCGGCTAAATAAGTATCGTTCGGCCCAATGACGCTGAGACTATCCGGCTCGAAGGACCAAATTCAATGGGCAAAGTTTACGTACTGCAACTCGAGCGCGGCCGTGAGGTCCGCTAGCAGAAGACCGGCCAAGTAATGGCGGGAGCGGAAGTCCACGCTGAGCGCGATTGGCGGCGTCTGCGACTGGGAGCCCGAGCGCGGGGAAGCCCCGCCGCCTCCCCCTCCCACTCCGCCTCCTCCCGCGCCACACTCCGCCACAGCCTCCGCGTCCCCCCCACCCGGCAGGCACAGCGACACATAGTGCTCGTGGGAACAGATGATGCGCAGGAACGCCAGCTGTGGAAGCAATGAATTCAGATGACCCGTTTGTTTGTTCGTTTGTTTCCTTTTTTTCATAAACCAAAAGAAATGCAACAGTTCACCGAAAGCTTTTTCATAATCGACGAAACAGAAAGAAGCGTCTTGTGCCATATCTCTGATTTTATTCCTTGTAGAAAAACATTCATTCACTACAATAAAATCTCTATTTAAATAAAATTGAACAGGCCATCGATATTTGAGATACGGGAAATTTTTTAAAAGATCATAATGAAAGTTGCATATCGTTTTGTTAGGGTGCATTATTGTTGATTAATGTTTCGCAGAAAGAGATATGGGTCAGAAAAAGAATCCCTGGCTGCAAATCTACATCAGAGAGTGGAAAAGAATTGCAAATGTCACAAAAATTTCACCGTACTGTTCCCGCAAGAAAAATAAAACGTATACAGATATCCGGCACCCGAAAAGAACGAATGGTTGGTATTAAAAAAAATAGTTTAGTTTTGTAACTCACGTTTGGAAGTGTCTTATTGGCTTAGCAGTCTATTCACACTTATTGAAACTATGGAGCGGTATGCTAGTTCTCTGCGTTATAGAGTTCGCAACTAAGACGTCCGCAGTAGGACAAAAGTGATCGACATATCTCAGAAGATCAGCAAGCTTAATGGCGATAGGTCATACAGCGCGTAGAAAGGATAGCCGATGGGGAAGAAAGGTTATCGAGTGGCAGCCTCGTACTGGCCATCAGTTTATGACGACTCCCACTAGATGGAGTCAAGTGTGCCTCGTAGTGCAAGTGTGCTAGAAGTCGATGGATAGATTAACGGTGGTAGAGCCACGCAGCAGCCTCGGCTGTTGCACGAATGGGCAGGCTCGTCCGGGTCAGTACCACGACCTCACAAAAGACCGGCGTAAAGTGGAAGTATGACAAATACTTTCGCGTTTCGTCTGGTGAGTTAGGTAGCCGGAGCCCAATCTCCAAAAAGGTTGTCAACGCATCTGCAAACCCTCGGGTGTAGCAGATGTCCATGGGCGGCGGTATGTATTTCACATCAGCTGAACCGTCTGCTCGATTGGCAACTTTTCACATAAAAAAAAATGCAGGTGGCTCAGGATCGTGCTTGGTGGCGGTCTTCTATGGAGGTCGATGATCAGCAGTGGACTCAAACAGGCTGGAATGATGATGATGATGATGATGAAACCAAGGCACCTTGTAATGGACCAGCGGCACCGCGTCGGGCAGCGAGGCGATCTTGGCGGACATCTGCTTGTGGTAGCCGCGCACCAGGTTGAGCACGTGGCCGCGGTCCATGATGCTGAGCAGGTCGAACAGGAAGAAGGCCAGGCTGTTGTTCAGGCTCTGCGTGAGCCGGCTGTTCTTGCCGTAGCTGGCGAGAAGCGGAAACGTTTAACTATAACATCCTTTGCGCTTAGGGGTGGGTGGACAGAGACTGCTGTCGACTGTGCATGGGATTAAAAAGATACCCTTAAATTAATACTTTCTTTTAATATATTTTTTTAATTTATATGGTATGGCAAAATTCGTAAATTGAGGTTGGACAAGGAGCCTCAAGTATTTGACTCAGTTTTCAATTCATCATTTCATTTACTTTTACATTTTGAAATTAATGTCGGGTACAAGGCGGCGGTTATCACTTAACATAGGGTGAACCGCCAGCCACTTGCCACCTTCCAACATAACATGTTGCAACACCTGGAGATGATCTCGGCCGTGACGTTGTTGACGAGCGTGGTGAGATCGTCGGTGAACTGGTCGGGGAAGCGCGCCTTGCGCGGCGCCTCGTGCGCCCCGCTCCAGTACAGGTACTCCACCATCGACTTGATCATCAGCTCGAACAGCGCCCTGGGACGAAACTCTTCGATGCATGAACTTTCCTCTTTATAACTAACTAACGAAAACTGTGACAGCCCGGCTAACTTGCATGATATATGTAGTAAATATAATTTATTTCACCCGCGTAGTTCCCGTTCTCATGAGAATACGGGTTTAAAAATAGCTTATCTGTAAATATCGTTAACTAGCTTTTCGCCCGCAGCTTCGCTCGCGTGAATCCCTTAAATAAATATCTTTCTTTAAAAAAAATTCCAATTAAAAAATAGCCTATGTCCTTTCTCAGGCTCAAAACTATCTGTATAACTAATTTCATTTAAATCGGTTCAGTAGTTTTGGCGTGAAAGCGAGACAGACAGACAGAGTTACTTTCGTATTTATAATATTAATATGGATTTTTTTCACAGCACAAGCAAAATAATGTCTTTTATACGCAACGTTTTCATATCTCTAATTTTTTTCAAAATTTATTGGTATAACTGATGTTACGCTTTCAGTCTTTTTCAGTCATTTGGAAAATAGCATGATTAGTTTTCTGTTTGTATTTATAATATATGTAACGCAGAAAGAAGCACTGAAAGATATATTTTTTTTACCAGGAGTTGTGCATCGCCAGATCCCTCGTGGCTCCGCTGGCCACTACCCACTGCAGTGCAAGTTCCTCGTGCAAGATCTTGCATGACCCGTCGCTCATCACTGCAAGTAAATCCAAATAAAATTTAATTAAACAGAAGAAAACATATTATGAAAACTGAGAAGAATTTCTGAGAAATTCGCAGGTTAATAAATCATAAACGATTGTATAAGACATTTATTTTATACCGCGATATCTTCCGAAGCAACATATTCAGGTTGTTACGAGATAAAATTTACTTTTGATAAATCCAGCGCATAATAAATCCTTGCCCTTATACCACCTGGGTGGTACTGACGTCAACCCTCTTTGGTAACAGACACCCAGACCCGGTACAATTATCTGTGAATCACACAAATACTTGTCCCGTGTGGGAATCGAATCCACGATCCTCGCCGAAGTATATTTGATCGAAAACCGTGCGGACGTTGGGACTAAAGCGCACGCTTACGCACAGACGATTGCGTTCATATCAGTTCGAAGCGGGCCAGTTAAGAAGAGAACAGAAGTGGGGAACAGCGAAGAATACCTGAAGGTGGAAGGGGCAGGCCGATGTCCGCATCGGCCAGCGAGGGTCTAGGGATGGTGCACTGGTACTGCACGTAGCAGGTGATGAGGCTGCTGCGGCCGTGGCCGTCGCACGATGCGCCGTCGTTCATGTTCTGCGAAATGACAAAGAGCATATACTTAGGTACTTTCGAAATGACTAGAATATTCTGCAAATGCAAAAGACGAGAGGGGCGCCCCGTTCGTAGTATTGTAAAGTTTGATGAGTCCACTCGATGACGTTACTGAAAAATAACTATCGATTTGATGCAAACGCATGAGAAAGAGCAGACCCGATCTCCAGAATATTCTGCGAAGAGAATGGAAAAGTGAGACGCCTCTTCTATTACTTCACAATAACTTTCGATTTAAGGCGCTGTATGCAGTGAATTTTTAACTATTTGGGTGGTGAAGTATGAGGAAGTATGCATTCATAACCTAGGGTGTAGTGATGGGCCGTAGGACACTATCGATAGTATCATGGAAAGCTTTCGAAAATGTACATAGATGATCACTATAATATCTTTTATAGACCATGATTGGATTTTACTTTTCTATTATAATAGGAATAATAATAAACAAATAAATATAAAGTACGAGAAAGCAATCAACAATTTTAGAAAATCTTCTTCCTGTTTATTATTATTACTTTAATTAAATGGAAAAGGAATTGATTAAAAATACATCTTAAAGTCAAATAAATTAATAAAGGGAATTACTTATAATTATTATTTTTTGTTTTCATGGTTTATATTGTTATTTTAAAGAAATGGCTCATAAAATTTTTGCAGAAATTACGAATACAACTTTTGTATTACATTTTTTTATGTATTAGGAATTTTAATTTATCCTTTAAATGTTCAAGATTTACTATGTTATATTACTTTCTCAACTAAAATGAAATTTGAAAAACTATCGATAAAATCTTTTTGTATCGATAAACGACAGCAATTATAACAAGAATCGAAATTTTGTCACTTTCCACAGACCTCGCGTAGCCTGTTAAACTATTTCTGTAGTCTCAAGTTCAAACCCTCATCGAGTGGAGTTGTATTTTTTATATTATTTTCACTTTTAATTCGTTAGCCAACAAATTATTTTGTTTTTATTTTATAAAATGGCTCAATTGGGAAATAAACAAATTAATAAGAAAAATTATGAAACAATTATTTTTCGTGTATAAGATAAATTTTCGTTTTAGAGTGAAAAATTAAATATTTTAATAAAAAAATAGATGACGTTAAAAATTTTTAATACTAAAAGTTGGTTTATTTACTGATAGATTGTTCTCCAACTGTTTCAACTTTGAACAAATACTATATATTTCGTTGTAATTATTTATGAAAATAAAAAATCAACAAAAATTAAATGGTTATTAAGAAATATTTCCAAATAAGAAAATGAACAATAAGTACAACAAAAACTTTAGGGATTTGAACCCAATCCATAAAGAACGATGGTCCTATACACAGTATGTATAGGACTGATAGACCAATCACGAGATAAGACATTGAAATTACGCTTTAAATAAATTAATTAACAACTGTTAATACATACAAATAATTTATAAATACGAAATATGTGAATATATATTTTTTTAGTTTCGTGTTTTGGAAGGTCTAATAATATTAAAACTGTCAATAATAAATAAATACGAAACATATTTCGTAACGGTGAGCGGGCGATGAGCGGCATAGGTCCATCTAGCAAGGCGCCTCAGCGCTCTCTGTTCAACGTGTGGAATTGGAAGAGAGCCGAAACAACGCCGCGGTGGCGCGGTGTTTTGGCCATCGCGTTCGAATGAATTTTAATGAATTAAATTAATATTTAGAAATATCTTACATCACTCAACAAAATAAAACTACAATCCTTTTTATTAATGTATTCTACACCACTGATATTAATTTCATTAAGATTTGTTGATGTATTACGTTCATTTTTGGATTTGAATTTCTCTTTTAGAGATAGTTTCCTGATTTTTTTCTATCGAGAAAATATATTGAGAATATGTTTTGGAAACAACGTTCCCTTAGAATGTACGATCAAGATTAACATGTATTTTTTTTGCTGCTATAAAATGTGTAGATTTTGCTAAAAAATTGGTTTTTCAATATAATAATAATATAATTTTCGTTGAAAATCCATATTCTATCCGGCTCGAAGGACCATTCGAAACTGATTTTATTTTCATTAGGGACTATTAAATTTTACTTTATTGCTAATAGACAATTTAGGCAGTGATATCTGTATTCGTTTATGATACTTCATCGAGGTCTCCTGCGAGGTAGCATGCGACAGTTCCTCGTCCTGTCCCGCTCGATTCGCACGCACCGTGATGTCGGTGAAGAGGTGCGCCAGGCAGGTGAAGACGTCCTGCGCGATGTTGAGCGGCTGCCCGTCCAGCGAGGGGGGCGCCACCAGCAGCTGCAGCAGCTTGTCGCACAGCACCGGCAGGTAGCGCGCCACCACCTCCACGCTCGCCGTGGGCAGCTCGGCGATGCTGGGGACGGTGGAAATGGGTCAAGGTGAGCTTTTCAAGGTTAAATTGGTTAAGCGCATAACCGGACACAGAGCCGTGATAGCTCGGTATCCGGGCGCTCGCTTTTAATTCAACATACTCGAGCAACCCGAGTTCGATAATACCCGCCCTAATAACCTCTTGACATAGGACATCTTCGCCCAGCAGTGGGACAAATATAGGCTAGTATTTTAAATGTTTATACTCGAAATATTTAAGTAAAAGTTTTTTAATTGACAATTAAAGAAAAATATGTAAACTCAGTGACAAATTTATTCTAAAATATAACAGCAAATAAATACCTGGCACGAAGTTCCGCTTCCATGTTGGCCAGCCCGATCCTCGGCGGGATGTTGCCTTCCTGCACAGCCTCGCACGCCATCGCGAACCTCTCTATGTAAACGTCCTGCACATAAAATAGTTACCATTTATTATTTTTATTTTTTGCTATAGATCCAATCCAAAAAAACAGTCTTCAAACTTGCATGATTGGTCAGGTCTGTACAGAGGTACCACGACCTCATAGACGACCTTCGTGAAGTGGACGTGTTATATGTCTGCAACCCCACGCGTGTTGTAAACGTTCAAGGTTAGCGGTTATTGCTTAATATCGGGCAAACCGCCAGCTGGCTTGCCACCTCGCATAAAAGTATAGTGCGTGGAGTCCCTCCGTGCGGAATCAGTCAAACTTCGAGTGGCATTCACGCATTCTCTCTGTCTCTTTCTATTCCCCCTCCCCAGGTGCGTTGAACGTTTAACGCAACAGTGCTTTCATACCCCCTCCGTGGTAGCGTTGAACGTTCAACGCAACCTCGTTGGGTCGCAAAGTCGTATTAGAAGTTTCACTTCAAAGGTCACCTGCGGATGGACGGTGGTGTGCGCGTCCAGCGAGATGGTGAAGATGGGCCTGTGGTTGTCGATCCAGCGCGTGCCGGGCAGCAGCACGTCCGGGAATATGTAGGAGTAGTTCGGCGGCGGCTCCTCCTGCATCACCGGCAGCCCGAACTCGCCGCAGGTCAGCTTGCCGTTGCGGCACAGCGGCAGCCACTGGGCACATCACGTCGAATCGATAAAAGGGTATACGTCATCGCTCTACAACCGCGACAATAAATGAACACACGTCTAACGCTACTTGCCAATAATCATAAAAAATATAAAACGTTAAAAAAAAATCCATAATTTAAAAAATATATTTTTCAAACAAACTAATTAAATAAAAAAGAAACAAAATTTGTAACATCCTATAAAACTACAACTGACTAATTCATACATTCAGAGACTTTTTCATTCGTTGCCACGACATCGCATTACAAGTCTCCCCTTCTAAAAGTATGTTTTATCTCTTTTTAATTCATTCAACCCATTCATATGCTTTCTGTCCTTTACAAATGAACTTTAGGTTACAGTTTTATACGTAAGGGTGTTCTAAAATTATTTGTTATGGAAAATATTGATGTTTAAAGAAAGTAAATGTTTAATACAATTTTTAAAAGTTATCTTCTGCGCTACTTTGTATAATGACCCCGAATTGCCAAGGCATTGGGTTTGGCACCAAAAAATCACGTTTATTCTTTTTTTAACTCCCATATCGTGATGGAGCTCAAGCCCGAAATCTCAATCGGTTTATCCTGGGAAGTTTTTATTATAATTTGGGAATAATTGTCAGTGGGGTAGGTAGCCACGATTGGATAAAGCACTGCCACGCACCGAGTAGCCGACGGGTGTCTCCACGCTCTTCTCCTGGTCTGGTGGCACGGGCTTCCTCTGGCAGGAGACGTGCAAGAAGGTGAACAGAAGGTGGTGCTGGTCTCCGAGGTCTGCGGGCAGCTTCAGCTTGATCTCATCGTACAGTGATGGACTCCTGTGAAATTTGCGACCGTTGTATATGCATTTTATAAAGATGAAAGAGAAATATGGAAAAGATGATCACTTTGACTTTACTCCGTTACCCATTACTTGGCTGAAGTAAATATCTTAATTGTTTTACTAACACACATAACACGTGGACAAGCACCCAAATCCGAAACATTATCTGTCAGACACACAAACCAAGTCAACAAAAGTTGTCCCGAGCGGGAATCGAACCCAGCTGGGCAGCTTCGCCACAGAGTCATCGTCGTTATAATTATGATAGTGCCAGAGTTATAGGGTACTTGTTGTGGTAGAGGACGGTGGTGTAGGCCTCCGTGCTGAATTCCGGGCAAGAGCTGCGGCCGAAGATGGCTGGCAGCGCGGACGACTGCTGCTCCCCTGCCATCAGCTGCACCCGCACCTGCCACCAGATGTCAGGGCTCATATTTGGTGGTACTCAAACATGTTGCGTATTGTTGTTTAATATTACCATTTTATATTAAAATATTATGTATTCTCTGTATTGTTTATGAGGTCACATTGTAATTAGTTTTAGTTTTAATATATCTTGATATATTTAAATCTAATTTGAGGAAATTCGACTGAAGAATTAAAATTAACACAATTTCCTTTGTAAATTTTTAGCTAGCTTGTCTTAGGCTAAGATTGGAAAGCATTTAGTACATACAATAAATTTATGTTTACATTCTTTTAATCGAATCCAGGACACTAATGTGAGAGAAGCACAGAGAGGGAAGGTCAAGTCGGGTATGGACAGGGGAGGTTAGTTCAGTTAGGGAGAGGGGGGGCTCACGTCGGATAGGGGGAGGGGGAGCTTAAGTCGGGTAGGGAGAGGGGGAGAGGAAGATAGGAGGTACTAACGGTGATGTTCCTCGCCGAGCCGGTCCGCGAGGTGTAGGCGGCGAGGTTGAGATCGCGCACGGAGAGGAACAGCAGGTTGCGGTACTGCAGGTGCGGCACCGGCCCCGCGCCCCCCGCTCCCCCCGCCCCCCCCGCGCCGCCCGCGCCCAACGCCAGCACCTCCTTGCACGGACGCACCGGCTCCTCTGCGGGACGGAACGCTGCTGGAGCCACACAAGTCCGTCCGGGAAAGGGCAACGGCATCGCGGAAGACTACCGTAATGTGGGAGTGTCACACTGCTGCGTTTCGCCTGGTGAGCGAGGTAGCCGGTTTATTTAAAGGTGGCAACGCACCTGATGCCATACGGTTGTTGCAGATGCCCATGGGCGGCGGTTATCACGCCTTAACATCAGGCGAAACGCCAGCTCACTTTCCATTTTCTTACAAAAAAAAAGGAAAGGTATGATATCCTCACGACTTTCACCTCAATGCGGTGGACAAAGTGAAAAAAAAAATATAATAATATAATTTTTATTAAGTAAAAACAACATAAATGTCTTATACCAAAGCACTCACCTCCATAAGGACTTAACTTTGCCAACTCTGGGGTCAAGCCATTCTTGATCTCATCAGGGCACGGTGACACTTCTATTTTGAGAGTTCCTGGGATGCATTTCAGCTTCTTTGGTGCTGAGCTTGGTCGTTTTATCTCTGCCAAGAATTTGTACAAGTCCTCATCGCGCAGCTTGTCTGTTTCCTATTTGAAATTAGCAATAATAAAGTTCACTATGAGTGAAGATAAAAAACATTATCCCAACCATATCAGCTGATAAGTTTAAAACTTATCTTATCTTTTTTAATTAAAAAAGGTGATCTAACTATTTTACTACTACTAAATACCCTTGGTATTGGGGTACACAACATTGAAGAGGAAGATTTTACATCAGCGAAATATTTCACTATATATTATAAAACGTGTCGTTAAACCGCGACAATAAATGAACACACATAGAGGATAACTTTTTAAAATTGTATTAAGCATTTACATTCTTTAAACATCAATATTTACGAAGTTATTAAATTTTACAAAACAAAAATTTTTACAACACCCTTACGTATAAAACTGTAACGTAAACTTAATTTGTAAAGGTCACAAAGCATATGAATGGGTTGAATGAATTTAAAAGAGATAAATATATGATAACATACTGTTAGAAGGGGAGACTTGTAATGCGATGTCGTGGCAACGAATGAAAAAGTCTCTGAATGTATGAATTAGTCAGTTGTAGTTGTATAGGATGTTACAAATTTTGTGTCTTTTTTATTTAATTAGTTTGTATGAAAAATATATGTTTTTAATTATGGATTTTTTAACGTTTTATATTTTTTATGATTATTGGCAAGTAGCGTTAGACGTGTGTTCATTTATTGTCGCGGTTGTAACACGCTGCTTTTCTAAAGGTGCCCAAATTCACACAGACTCGGGGTAGTATAATCGTTTATTGAAATAAAAACAAACCATTGCCATTCCATTCCCTAAAAAACAGAACTTGTTGACAATGCGGTAGTCATTCATAAATGTGTCGTATACTTTTGAAACGAACTTGTGTGCGTATTAGTTATGAATGATCGCGCGTATAATAAATGAGTTGCCCATAAATCACGCATTTTTTGAGATAAGTTCTAATGAATGTATTCAATTAATTACGAGTGATTTTAAATATTTATAATTTTTTATATATCATTAATTATGTCTAGAATTTAATTAAAAAAAATGGATACACTAAGAAAAAAGCCTCCCTGTATAATGTTTAGATTTGTGCATGATTTTTTTCTTGACCCTAGGCCGCGTCGATAGAGACTTGACAGAAAAAAGCTTTATTAATTATAAAAGTTAATTAGTGCTTGCATCAAGATAATTAAGGGCTTGCTGCGAAATACTTTCAATTATTTTACACCTAATATCAATTCTTAATATTACCATAATAATTTATATTATAGTAGACCATGTCTGGTGCAATTACCTGCTTGAAAAAGCTAGTAACGGTTATGACGATGGGCTTGAAGCTGTCCAGGTGTGCGACCAGCTCGTCCGCTTGCTGGACTGGCAACGCCCGCCTCTCTATGGAGCCTTTGCGTGTGAGGGAGCCCCCTACTTCACCGGCCCTCCGTCTGAGCTGTTCTAAACTGCTGGAGGAGGCCTTGCGATCTGATTGGTGAAAGTTATATTGTTAATGATACATTCAAAGGCTCATGTTTTGCAACTGAAAAGCATCTTTGGGAACATAGGAAATGTATAATTAAGATGATTGGGAGTTTTCAAAGACGCAGAAAGGAGGAGTGTTGACAGATTATATAATGATCTGAATATTAAATTGACATACAAATGAGCTTTAAAAGTTGAGACTGTTTCAAATTCAACCGTCAAAGGGAATTTGAAAGGAAATGTACCCTACATTAGATACAAAATGCAGACGGGTCGAGTGCGGCCTCGACCATCAGTAGGAGATGAACAGAGTATGATGACCAACCGAGGCTGTTGGTGTTGGTGCCTGGGGTGGGGCAGGCGGGTCCGGGGGGCAGACCTTCTTTGTCCGCTCCCTCCCGCTCCAGGCTGTTGGAGCCGCTGAGGATGTTCAGGAGAGAGACGGCGCTCCAGCACAGCGGCATGCGGTACTTCCCCAGTCGGCTGCAGGCGGCCTGGGCGCCGCTACGCACCTTCTCGCGGTTCTGTGCAAACAAACCGGAACCAACTATATATTATATGTATAATATATACTTTGTTATTGTATATGTACACATAGACTACAATAGATCTTCTAAGCTGCCGCGGTCATTCGACCCTGCTACCCAAACCCTTTTGCAAAAATCATACACACATAATTATATATTATAATACAGTGAATATTTTTGTTTTATTCTCTATCTAGGTCTTTCTAGGTCCCTTTTGTTACATGGCATTAGTAATGGTTCTTTTTTTTTATGTGAGAAAGTGGCAAACGAGCTGGCGGTTCATCTGATGTTAAGAGATAACCGTCGCCAATGGACATTTGCAACACCGATTGCAGATGTGTTGCCACCTTTTAATAATGTGGGCCAGCCACCTCATTCACCAGACGAAACGGACGTATAATACTTCCAAGTTAGGAGGATTAAAAATTGACCATTCAACCTAATTACCTAGTCATTGATCAGAATAACACCCATGAAACATAATACATAACAAAGATCCATTATTGAGTTACAATGTAAGATGACAAGCGAGGTGGTGGTTCACCTGATGTTAAGTGATAGCCAAGGGGTTGGATATGCATTGCCACCTTTTAATAAAGTGGGCCCTGGTTACCTCATTGCTCAGAAGAAATGCAGAAGTATAACAGTTCCACTTTACACTGGTGTCCTATGACGTGGTGGTACTCTGGACGGATTCGTAAAACAGGAAAACTTGCGTGGCCCTACACGTTTCCGTATTACAAACGAATACAAAATATTTTTTACCGTAAACTGACAACAAAAACCGCCCAAGTGCTAGTTGGACTCGCGCTTGAAGGGTTCTGTAGCATATGAGGGAAAAAAATCATGTCTGTTGTATGGAAGCTTCACTGTTGATATAGCGGCAACAGAAATACATAATCAATGAAAATTTCAACTGTCCAACTATCAAGGCTGATGAGATACAGCCTGGTGACAGACAAATCTGAAATAGACAAGCATGTAATGCAGTTCATACCTTATCATCCTTAATATAAGGTTCAACGCACTCATTGACATCTCCCTGGAGGACCTTCTCCACTCTGACCACCAAGAAAATGTCGGGCGACGGATTCAGGATGTCAAAGACTGCGCTGCGGCTCATAGTAGATATGTCCGCGTGAGGGATATGCGCTGACAGCATCTGACGAGTAGTCTCCGAGTTGAGGTTGAAGTAGAAGTTCTCCGAGAGCTTCTTCTTTTCCTTTGCATCGAACAGCGCCATAGATGCGAACAACGGCTCGACGTCCAATTCCAATCTGCAATTTCACCATCATAATTGGGGCTTTCTTATTTTACCTTATTATTTTATGTTCAATATAATGAATGTTATGTTTCCCAAGGACGTCATGCAGGCGGCTGGTCGTAAAAAACATAGCCAAAATAGCTTACGACATGATTCAAAAGTTGTGCCGACTCCACCTAGGTGGGAGAAGGGCAGGGCATGATGATATTTTATTTTTCTTATTGATTCATGATGGATCAGAACTTGAGAGCTGCCATTTACAAAATAAAAATAATTAGTACCAGATTAATTATTATTTTAATAGTTGATTACTATTTTAATAGTTTGCACAGTAGTAGTACCAATATTGACTTGTTTCTGTTTAAAGCATGGCAACCATAGTCATGTTACTTTTGAAAATAAAAATGATATGTCAAATGTTTATAGCAAATAAACAAATATAATAATTAGAATCACTCACTTTAATTGGTGGCAGACTACCAAAATCCTGTGGCCCATTACCTCGCAGGGCATTTCAGCTGCAAGCCTCCTTTCCACTGCTTCCTCTTCATCTAGATATGGGGTATATAGACCGAGGAGGTCAGCTTGGCGATTTTCTAACCTGAAATGAAAGATTTGTAGGTTATCAGGATAATCCAGTGTGTATTGAAAATTAGTAAATGTACACTATACAATATAATTATTTAAGTTTGCATACATTTAGTTATTTTATCTAATTAATTACATATTTATTCATATTTGACTAGATCCAAATCATTGTCAGTGAAATGTAAAAACTGTATTTAATCTCTTTTAATAAAACACATTAATTTTAGTTTAAAACCCGCAACATCTAGATGAATAACACTGAATAATAACAACGAATACAGAATTTCTCGTAACTTACCTCCTAGCTTCATTTAATGCATCCATTTGTTCCGGAGGTTTCTTTTCGAACAGGTCCGGTATTAAGGGATCAGAGGAGGAGCTTTGAAGGTCCAAACTCGCCCATGAGCCACGCGGCGTTAGCGTCTCATTGCAGGAGAGTGATGATGTTATAGATGCTACGGATTGCCGGCCACTGGACGGTTGAGATTCAAACTAGAAGGAAAGATATTTTAATAAGATCTAGAACAAAATCATGTCACAAAATTACAACACCTAAGCCACTTAAATTAAATATTGTACACCAAAATATACAAGGCATAGGTGGCAAAGAACCTGAAATTGAGCTGTTTCTTAGAAGATTTAACATCCATGTCATCTGCTTCACAGAGACATGGTTACATAAGTATTTTAATATTATAGATATAGAGAACTATAAATTGTTAAGTTCGTTCGTAAGAGCAAATGCTATTCGCGGCTCTCTTGTGTTAGTAAGAATTGATATAGTCTGTAAAAATCGACAGGATATAGTAGCACACTCTGTCGAACGTTCTATAGAATTATCCTGCGTTGAGAGTCAACAGTATATTATAGTATGCGTGTATCGACCCCCCTCAGGTGATTTCGATCTGTTTGAGTGTGTAATGGATGATGTACTTAAAAAACTCTGTTCAAGTAGTAAATCAGTAGTAGTTTGTGGAGATTTAATGTGGATTTATTACAAGTGGCACATCTTAGTAAACGACTTTTAAATTTATTTAGTTAATTTAACTTAATAATCTTTTTCATGAACCAACTCGTGTCACTAACTCATCCTCCACATGTATAGATAACGTTTTCTGCCACGATAATGTATATGATAAATATGTTACAAATTATCTGAGCTCTGACCACTTTGGTTTAAAATTTTCAATAAATGAAAAAGTTATTACAAGCAAACATAAGATCAAGTGTAGACCAGTCACTACTAATAGAATAAATTCTTTTAAAGACAAAGTGGCACATCATATGTTAAATAAAGATATAGAAGTCAATAACCCTAATGATTCTTATAAATCAATGGTTGACTTTCTCATATCTTCGTATAATGATACATTTAAATCGCGCACAATTGTTAAAAATTCTAAATTAAAATTTAGTGACTGGGCAACAGTGGGTATATATAAAAGTAGGGATTCACTGTATGAATTATATAATATGAGGCAGTGGAATCATGACCCCAACTTTCATAAAAGGGTACAAATGTTCTCCAAAATATTTAAAAAAGTCTGTATTCAGGCAAAATCTATTCATATAAGAAATAGAATAATAAATTCAAACAATAAAATTAAAGCCACATGGGACATCATTACCCGTATATCTGGAAGACCCAAGATATTCAGGGAACCTATAAAACTGGTTATAGGTAATACTCCCATAACAACGGATAATGAAATTGCAAGTAGTTTTGAAAGCTATTTTTCAGAAATTGCAGTTAATGTCACATGTACATTAAAATCATCTCCCATAGATGCAATTAACGTTTTAAGAAATAATGTTACCTTTTGTCCACACACATTTAAATTTAATCATGTAGATACTTATGATATTATAAAAGTTTTGAATTCTATTAATCTTAAGAATACAGGGGATTTATGGGGCATGTCCATAAAATTAATGAGCACAATAATGCCATATATTGCACCACATTTAGCTAATATTTTTAACAACTGCATAGATTCTGGAATATTTCCAGATCTTATGAAATTTAGTAAGATAATCCCCGTCTTCAAAAGTGGGGATAAAAATGATCCAGGAAACTACAGACCTATCTCCATATTGCCATCTCTGAGTAAAATTTTTGAAAAACTAATTTTAAATCAGCTCTTAGTACATTTTAATATGAACAAAATTTTTCACAATGAGCAATATGGATTCACTAAAGGCAGATCGACAACAGATGCGGGTATCGCACTTGTCAAACATATTTATAACGCCTGGGAAGGGTCGCAAGATGCAATAGGTGTTTTTTGCGACCTTTCAAAAGCTTTCGACTGCGTGGATCACAAAACCCTCCTTCTAAAGCTTGATTATTATGGCATTCGTGACATCGCCCTCAATCTCATTGCCTCTTACCTTAATAATAGAATTCAAAAAGTATCTATAAATGATGTAAATTCCGCAGGGTCCCCCATGAAAATGGGTGTCCCACAAGGATCGATCTTGGGCCCATTATTATTCTTAGTATATATAAATGATCTCCCCTTTTATGCCAGTGAGTTATGTGATGTTGTACTGTTTGCTGACGACACATCGCTTATTTTTAAGGTTGACCGAAATGTATCGAATTATGACGACGTGAATAGTGCACTTTCGCGTATCCTCCACTGGTTTACCATTAATAATATGGTGTGTTAAATGCTAAAAAAACCAAATGCCTTCTTTTTGCCCTTCCCAACGTAAGAAGGCAAAGTTTTAGCTTAAAATTGAATAGCGTAACCCTTAATCCTGTTGAGTCCGCTGTATTCTTGGGAATCACAGTAGATTCAAAGCTACAATGGAGTCCCCATCTATCATCTCTTGCGAATAGGTTAAGCTACGCTGTTTTTGCAATTAGGAAGGTTAGGCAGTTATCAGACATCGACACTGCCAGACTTGTTTACTACAGTTATTTTCACAGCATCTTGTCGTACGGCATTTTGTTGTGGGGTAGTGCATCTGATATAATTCAATATTTATTATTCAAAAAAGGGCTGTCCGAGCAATTTATAACATCGGAGCCCGGAATACACTCAGAGATCTTTTTAAAGAGATTAATATACTCACTGTTGCGTCTCAATATATTTATTGTAATATTTTTTATGTTAAACAGAATATTAATAATTATCAAAAGAATAGTGACAAGCATAAACTAAATACTAGAAATAAGGACAAACTAACTACGCCATTATTTCGCCTACAAAAAGTAAACAGGTCGTTCATGGGGCAAAGTGTGCGCATGTATAATAAAATCCCACAGTCGATATTAAGTCTGCCACTTGATGAATTTAAACGAAAAATTAAAAGTAAACTTATGGCTAAAGCCTATTATACTATTGCCGAATATCTTGACGACGCCAATGTGTGGGGTTAATACTGTTGATACTCACGTAGGCTAAAACAAGACTATTGTACCTGTACTATTTATTATATTGTAAACTGATTTTTTAATAAAGAGCAACTGTTGAGTTTCTTGCCGGTTTCTTCTCAACAGAAACTGCTTTCCGAACCGGTGGTAACTTACGAACGTGTTAATTTCTTGTAAAATTTTGACGTTTCATAAGAACGCGCAAGCGTCTATGTGAATAAAGATATTTTATTATTATTATTATTATTATTATTATTATTATTATTAATTAACTAACTGAACTGGTTCCAACCACCTATTGCTTATATGTGGGGTTGTAGTAGCATTGCCAACATTTAAGATGGTGTCTTAGTTATTTCTCTATGAAAGCATTACATATGGTGAAGGCGGTATTTTATTGTTAGTTTTAAGTTAGGACTTATGCTGGCACATATCTGACACACGCTGAGCAGTGACGGAAAACATTGAGGAAATCTGCATGTTTTCGAAATAATTCATCATCATCATTTCAGCCTGTTTGAGTCCACTGCTGAACATAGGCCTCCCCCACAGACTGCCATGAAGCACGATCCTGAGCCACCTGCATCCATCGACTTCCCGCACATTTGCACAGGTCGTCACTCCATCTAGTGGGGGGTCGTCCTACACTGCGATGGCCAAATTATTCGACCAATTATCGAAATAATTAATCCAATCGATTTGTGAAGTCTGCCAATCCGCAGTGAAGTGGCGTGGCGGACTACGCTCTAATACAATCTGTACAGAGAAAGCCTTTGCCCATCCGTGGGACTTGTATAGGCTGTTACTTCACTTACTTTATTATCATGTTAAACTTCAATTAGGGGGCACTGAGGCTATCAGGTAGTAAATCTAAGAGTCTCACTTGTTGCAACGCGAGATCATCCAGCGGTGCGCAGGGCTCCGCGTCCACCTCGTAGTACTGAGGCGGCGCGCTGAGCAGCTTGTCGAGCCGCTCGGCGAGCCGCTCGCGTCCACCAGCCGAACCCGAGTACATCCGGTACTTATACTCGACCACAGTGTAGTCTTTAGTGTAGCAGCGGATGCAGTCGCGGACGAACATCGGCGCTTTCGTGCTGTCAACGGTTTCGAGCGATGAGACGGTACTTATAGTGCTCATATTTTTGATGAACTGACCAACATAGATACAGAATTACTGTATGTAAGTAAATATGAAAAAAATTTAAATGCAGAATGTCGATCATTCATCTAGTTCTCTGTATACCAGAAGCTATTTCCCCAAGGGTATTAAGCAAATAATCCCGTGTAAGCTTATACTTGTGAGGTTGGGGATGGAAATGTAAGTATTCATATTACATAGTAGTTATAATGCCTATTTTATAATTTATAGTTAGCCTGTTATGAAATAATGAAAATCAGTGACGGAGGCGTGTGAAGGCCTCGTGCCAAGGCAGTCAAACTAGTACTTTAGTTTACAACTTCCAATTCCATCCCATCCCAGGGTTTTAAGTAGTCTAGGTCTAGATTGGAGTGATTGTAGCAAAATATAATAAAGTTAACACCCACAGGTCTTCATCGGGCAGTATATGTTTCACGGTCCGTATTCGCCTGGGCACCGTGATTAGCTCAATGTCGTTTGGAGGGTATGCGAGCGGATCTTTTTCCCCCATAAGCAGCTCACACACCTCCTCATAGTCTGGTGGTTCAATCATATCGCAGAGAGATATCTGTGGGGAAACAATAGTTAACTCGTAACATTTAACATTCTAGGCGCTACTTTTTTTGACAGATTTCAATGTGAGTTTCTTCAAGGCTTGATAAAACTAGAACAATAAAAAAATCAACAAATTCCTTTTAAAAGTTTTGAATACTGAGCTCCGATACCAATTTAAAAAAAAAAGCAATTGACATGTTATTATTGTAGCGATTCTGAAGACCTACATAAATACAGATTAGCTGTTGGCTAAATGTGATCTCATTTATTACAAGAGCTTATTTTATGACATAACTATTATAAGTCACATAACACCAAGTAAATAAAACTAATTTAATAGTCCTATATTGAATCATGACAGTTATCACATTTTTTACTATGGTTTTGCAACACAGTATAGTGTATACTACAGTAATATTTATATTTAACAAAATTGACATGCAACTATTTTAAATATTTCTTAGCTTAAATTATAAGTCTTGAATTAATTTCATTATAAAAGTTCATTACATTGCATATATATGCAATGGGTGTACTTGAAACCACTTCTATATATATTTAAATATTTAAATATATTTTTAATATTGAAGTAATGAATAACATAGATATAACTTTGATTTTTAATTGCACACTCACATTTTATGTGCCTTACCCACTGTTGGAAATAAATATTTGGTGACAATTTTTTTAATATGTAGCTAATATCCAACATAACATATAATTACACATGATTAATAATAGACTAGTCACATAATTACAACATTGACCATAATAGAGTTTTAATGTTAATCAGAAATTATCATCATATATCATCCTACCTTATTCCATTTATAAGGTTCATTACTGGTAGATTATTTTCTTAACATTTCCTAATCAGATTTTTAATGAATATGAAAGGAATTAAGGGAACATAACAAGCCCAAACCAAATATAACACTAAATGTTACAAATATTAATTAAAGTTCACATATATTATTATATACACACTTTATTCAATTGCAACAAGACAGAATAATTAGAAAACATTGAATAAATAATAAAAGTATGGGTGAGTAATAACGTAACCACAGAACATGTTAAACGGAAACTTACTGAAGAAGAACAGCCTGAAAGAGTACCCGACTTCGACTGGCTAGCATAGACCTTACGAGCATCCCCAGCATTCCTATAAATAGGAAAAAATCAATCCTGATATATTTATAATGCTCATGCCCCGAACTTCATGCATCAATAACCAGCTACACCCATATAAAAGGATAATAGAAGCAATTACCCGGAACAATTCTGATATTTGCGTCCAAGAGTCATCTAAATTGTGTCACTTTTCACAATTGTGGCTCATAAATATCGTAAGTCTTACGATATAATCTAAATATATTAATACTGATAATCGGATTGTTTACAGAAATTCACCAAACCAAACATCGATTTCTAATTCTATTTGACAACATTGTCAGTTATTTTTGGCAGCTTTCCAATTTTGACTTAATTTAACATTGTCACGGATGGAAGTTATTGTCCCATATTGCTCCATTAGGATTTCATTTTTATTGTGTAATACTTCACGAAATAGGTGCGTAGAAAAATTCGCCTCGCATATAAAAAAAATATTATTATTATATTTTTAGTGCACTACTCTTAGTAGGTAAACTTGTTGTTTTTTGTTGTTACTATGCGAAATTTTGTTACGATAACATTCAAAGTCAGTGAAAGTCAAAATTTCTTTATTCATTACAGACTTGTTTCGAGCTGTTATTGAATGCCAAAACACTACAACTAGTCTCTAATTTACGTCTATCTAGATTATAGCAAGTAAGAAACTAAGAAAGAGTTTCTTTATTTAATTTGAATCTTTTACCCGTCAGCTCAAGAAGGGTAGTGTTTTCGAGGGTATGTATAAATATTCCTATACATGCATACATACAGTATGAATGTGTAGGAGTATGTATGCTTTATTCTTTGGCACGCTCAGCAGTCTTAAAGGATTTTAAAAATTGAGGTAATCTCTGCACTGAAGATAAAATATTAATATGTATTGCATTTCTTAAAATGCGAAAAAACAATGTAAATGAAGTACGTTGAAATTTCGTCGGTGTGGCAATCAATCATTTAGCTTAGTGGTTAAAGCGTTTGGGTGCAAATTTGGAAGACGTGAGTTCCCGCAGAAGCACTTCGGAGACAAGACAAACTTCATCCATTTTTTACAAATTTTAATTGAAGTGTCATTAGGGTGGGTCGTCTAAAATAGAGGAATAATATATATTTTTAATGCGGTCGGGCTTTAAAAAAAGTAATTAAATCATTTACGCTTAATTCAAAACGAGGAAGGAAAGTTAAATTAAAATAAGGAAGTAAGACTAAGTACGCTAATTTATAAAATAGAGAAAATTGTACAATAAACGCTAATAAGTTATACTTGGTAAAAATTTACCGCCATCGGGGATTAATAATAAAATTAAAATAACATTACATTAGGTCAATGTGCTCATTCGTATACCACTGTGAAAAAATCAAAAAAGATGTTTAATTCAACATGGACGGGAGAGCATCTGAGTTGATCCTCACTTTGGCTGGCCTACAAAGTTTACGACAGAAGATGACATCGATGAGGCGTGCCGTCTCGAATTATTGGATTGAAGAATGACTGTTCAGGATATTGTAGGAAACTCATAAGAAAGAACGCAAAATATCATAGTCCAATAACTTAGATTTTTTGAAGATTCCCCAGATTACTTTCAATGATGCAAAAACGAATTAAGCCGATAATTCCATTTACTATCCTCTGATATTTGGTCCCCGGAAAGCTGATCCGCAAGATTTTTTTAACAGATGTGTGACGCAAAATCAAAAACCACAGTCCAAGCAGCAGTGGGAAAAATCTGGTCAACCAACTCCACTGTCACAGAGATGTAACAATAATTTTGGTACTGAAATATTTAATGTCGTTCAGGATTTAAGTCATTTTGATCTGTGTTAGTGCCACGCAGCAGCGTCTGCTGACGCACGAATGAGCAAACTCATCCGGAGCACTACCACGTCTTCACAGAAGACCGGAATGAAGTGGAAGTATTTTACTTTCGCGTTTCGTTTGGTGAGTGAGGTAATCAGGCCTTTTAAATGGTCGGCAGCACATCAGCAACGCCTTAGGTATTGTAGATGTCCATCGGTGACGGTAATCACTTAACATTAGGTGAGCCACTTGCTCGGCATACAACTTTTTACATAATAAACAATACGCCCGGGAATGCTTAGAAGAAGGAGTAATGCTCGCATTCACAAGTCATTGTGTGTGATTGTGGTTTCGAACTACCAATCCACCACACCTTTAGACTTTCACGTGATACAAATCTATAAAAAATAAGTCCTTAGTGGCCTACAGTTTTTTTTTGGGATTACATCGAAAAATAACAAATATTGTTGACGATATTTTATTTTATTTTCTTGACGAGAGTGTATCATTTACTACTTAGACCAAAGATGATACACTTATATAGAGACTTAGACCATCAGATCATTATTTCTTGCATTTGTTAATTAAGAAATTAAATCATACTTAAATACTTTTGTTAGTTTTCGTCATTTAATGTAAACAAATTTGAGGTTACTAAGACAAAGCCATTCATACGCCTTACAATGCTCGACCTTGCCTCTAGCTTTTCGCTAGTGGTTTAGAAACGAGCTGTCGTGTCAAGTATCAACGGACACAGTTCTTTAGACGAAAGAAGTCTTATAGACGTTTAAAGCCTTGACCTTATACATTAAAAATTCTATTTCAAAAAGCGAGGATGAGAATGAATTATTATTTTAATAAATTAATAATTAAGGATAATTACTTAGACCATAAATTCGCCGTCGGTGTGTTACACATTACACAGACAGTAATATGTTAAGTATCAGCTAATTAATAATTTTCCATTTTGGAGGTATTTTGTCGAGCCATGTCTGTTGGATTTGTGTAAAATATCTCTGTAGCTATGGATATACAGGTTCACTCGCGATATTTCTAAGGAATCTAATAAGTTTTTCACTCTGCGTTCGAAGTTCAGGAGAAATTCCTCGAATCCGGGAGGTCGGTGCACGTCGTGTGCCCTGTCACGTGTACAGATCACGTTCCTTGACGAATTCTCCGTGCGTGCAGTACGCACGCTCCTAATCCGTGCGCCCGCGGCCGACTCCTAATTGGATCCGCCGCCGAGTCGCGTGGCGCCGGCTTCGCGCGCACGGGACCCCACGGATCACCTATTGGCGCGCCGAACGTTCGACTTTCGAAGCGAAATGTCGATGCTAGGAATGTAGTAGATGTATTATCAAAATAAAGAGATTTATTTATTTGTTTACTAGTTGTCCGGGCAGATTTCGTTCTTTTTTATTATCATTTTATAGTATTAAAACCTTCCTTGGAACTTAAGGAACATAAAAAAAAATTAATTAGTCGAATTGGTCCAGCCATTCTTGAGTTATGCGCTTACCAACATTCATTTTTATTTATTAAGATTCATCTCCAACAAGTTACACACCGAAACAGAATTTAAATATAAGGTTTTTAGGAAAGTGTTATGTGGTACCTTTAAAGTAGGAACTTTTTTTAACAGACTGATAGTAGTTACACAATCAAAGAAAAAGTATAACAACATTATTGATAAATTAAATATGAAATACATATTATTTATTTATTTATATAAATAATAAGTATTTCATAAAAATAAGAAAAATATTATATTAATCAATGACGACATTTAGTAATTATATTGACAAAGAAATAAAGTAATTATATTGTAATTCTGAATTACCTATTAAGATTTATTGTTGTCGAAAAAATTAATCTCTGTTTCCTAATTTAATAAACTGAACACTTACACTGATATTAACATATTAACATGCTTACAACATTAATACACTTATTAACAGGCAGACCGTTATGTTAGTTTTTGTTTTAGCGTAGGTTGTTGTACAAAAAAAAAAAGGGGAGAATTTTTGATCATTACACATACCAATTATGTAATAGTAATTATGTTACATAGTAGGTATATAAGTTTACAATTATATATGGATAGTGTAGATTCATAATATTACAGACTTCCATATTACACATATTGCTATTCAGCTTGATGGTAAAGGGTCCGTCCAGGCACTGACTTTTGATTCAATATTCCCGAGCAACTTTTGTTCTAAATCCGGCGGCGATACCAATGAAATTGTGAATTTAAATTAAAAGTTTTAGTGTCACGTGTTTAGCGGTAAAGGAAAACATTAAAGTGACGTTTGCGTCAATCCGCGGTGGGGGCCCTTTGTACAGAGGAGGCCTTTGCCCAGCAGTGGCATAAATATAGATTGTTACTACTTTAATTTTTGCCTGCGGCGGCGACAAGCCTTCTCGCCGTACACGTAAAATGTGAGGCAATATCTCGTTGGTTTGACCATTCTAAAACAAACAGCTAATTTGTTGGCGCTTATTACTTGTTTGTTTTAGAGTTGTTGAGTTGTCTGTTTTAAAATGGCACTAGCAACCGGCCCCGACTTCACGCGGGTGCTATTTTTATTAGTAGACTGACGCGTTCAAGTAATTCCTACAAAATCTATGGTTTAACATTGTATCGAATAAAAACATGTTTCATTGTTCAAAGTTTCTTCCTTTCAACCAGAACGGGATAATTCTTATTTTGCCTTTAAGAAATACGCAAAAGGTAACATTATCTTCTATTCTCTTATTTGAAAAATTAGTTCTTCGGCACAACTTTAATAGGAATCCGACCTTTGTTATGAAATCGTCAAAGCAGGTGAATCTTTGGAAATGACACATTGAATTTGATATGTTAATAACGAAAAGAAATTCGTTCAAAAAGATATAAGAGTTCTAACGTTTTTACCTTGATCCTAATATTTTAACTATTACTGAACTTGAATATTAACAACTATTATAACGACAAGCAGCAATAGTGGTTATATCACCGTCCGGGAACGCAGTCGAAATCCAAGTGACCACCGCTCCATGCGACCATGTGTCCTTTAGCTCGAGTAGAAACGTCATATCCGGTAAACAGTGTTGTCAGCGCCAACATTCGGCCGTCCTGCATCACGCCTTCGTCCCCGAAGGGCGTTGTAGTCTGGTACAAGTAACCTTTAATAAAATTAACACCTTACCCTGTGGCTTATCTCCCTCAAGTGGGATGAATAGCGCCACGTTCAGAACACCTTACACTGTGGCTTATCCCTCAACTGGGATGCATATCGCCACGTTCAAAACACTTATCCTGTGGCTTATCCCTCACAACTGGAATGCATATCGCCACGTTCAAAACACTTATCCTGTAGCTTATCCCTCACAACTGGGATGCATATCGCCACGTTCAAGCCTTAAATTTTCCAACTAATAAATGCTCGGTAGCTTAACCGGGTAAACCATTTTATATCGCTATTTAACATTTTCTCAAATATGTTTGAGTAATTAATTAACTGAAAGGTACTCACCAAAACTTTCGTTACATTTAACTAAAAGATTTTATCACCATTACGTATAGTAACTATAAAACACACTGTTTTATTTTACGAGGGTAGGTACCCAAGGAGAAAATATGTCGCCGATTGTTTGAATAGCCAAACGCGAGTTTTCGTATTGTATCCCATTTCTGATATAAGAGTTCTAACGTTTTTACCTTGATCCTAATATTTTAACTATTACTGAACTTGAATATTAACAACTATTATAACGACAAGCAGCAATAGTGGTTATATCACCATCCGGGAACGCAGTCGAAATCCAAGTGACCACCGCTCCATGCGACCATGTGTCCCTTAGCTCGAGTAGAAACGTCATATCCGGTAAACAGTGTTGTCAGCGCCAACAAAGATTCCTTGCTTTATTTGCGAAAAAGATTGCTCCTAACTTGCTAGCTAGCGAACGCTACGCTAGCCTTTACATAAAAATACAAGATTAGATCATAGTTCTTTATCGTAATGATCAGTTACGCGATTACCATACATTGTTAAAAAGACAATTTTATATTGATTTTGATTTAAATTACTCATAAAATTTGTTACTTAGTATAAAGTTAAGTTTCAGTGTTATAATTTTGCGTTATGTCTGGTGAGTAAGTTCGCCATAAGTACCTACTCTTTTAAAGCTAGTTCTGGACATACCCCATAAATCCTCTGTAATCTTAAAAATACAGAGGATTATGGGGTATGTCCATAAAATTAATGAGCACAATAATGCCATATATTCCACCACATTTGGCTTCTATTTTTAACAACTGCATAGATTCTGGAATATTTCCAGATCTTATGAAATTTAGTAAGATAATACCTGTCTACAAAAGTGGTGATAAAAATGATCCAGGCAACTATAGACCTATTTCCATATTGCCATCTCGTAGTAAAGTTTTTGAAAAGCTAATTTTAAATCAACTTTCAGTTCATTTTAATGTGAACAAAATCTTTCACGATGAACAATATGGATTCACTAAAGGCAGATCAACAAAAGATGCGGGCTTCGCACTTGTCAAACATATTTATAACGCCTGGGAAAGGTCACAAGATGCAATAGAGGTCTTTTGTGACCTTTCAAAAGCCTTCGACTGCGTAGACCATAAAACTCTCCTTCAAAAGCTAGAATATTATGGCTTTCGTGGCATCGCCCTCAATCTCATTGCCTCTTACCTTAGTAATAGAATTGAAAAATTATCTATAAATGATGTCAATTCCGCTGGGTCCCCGATGAAAATGGGAGTCCCACAAGGATCAATCTTGGGCCCATTATTATTTTTAGTATATATTAATGATCTCCCCTTTTATGCCAATGGGTTGTGTGATGTTGTACTGTTTGCTGACGATACATCGCTAATTTTTAAAGTTGACCGAAACGCATTAAATTATGACGACGTGAATGAATGAAGTGCACTTTCACATATCCTCCACTGGTTTACTATTAATAATATGGTATTAAATGCCAAAAAAAAAACCAGATGTATTATTTTTACCCTTCCCAGTATAAAAAGGAAAACTTTTAGTTTAATATTAAATAACGTAACCATTAATCCAGTTGAGTCTGCTGTATTTCTGGGAATTACAGTAGATTCAAGGCTCCAGTGGAGTCCCCATTTATCATCTCTTGCGAATAGGCTGAGCTCCGCTGTTTTTGCGATTAGAAGGGTTAGGCAGCTAACAGACAATCGACACTGCCAGACTTGTTTTCTTCAGTTATTTTCACAGCATCTTGTCGTACGGCATTTTGCTGTGGGGTAGTGCATCAAATATAAATTCTATATTTATTCTTCAAAAAAGAGCTGTCCGAGCCATCGGAGCCCGGAATTCACTCAGAGATCTTTTCAAAGAGGTTAATATTTTTTTTTATGCGGAAAAGTTACCAAACGAGCAGACGGGTCACCTGATGTTAAGTGAACACCGCCGCCCATGGACATCTGCTACACCCGAAGGTTACAGATGCGTTGACAACCTTTTGAAAATTGGGCTCCGGCTACCTCACTCACCAGACGAAACGCGAAAGTATTTGTCATACTTCCACTTTACGCTGGTTTGTGTGAGGTCGTGGTACTTATCCGGACGGGCCTGCCCGTTCGTGCAACAGCCGAGGCTGCTGCGTGGCCCGACCACCGTTAAGTGTTGTTAAGTTACTCACTGTTGTTTCGCAAAACATTTATTGTAATATTTTGTATATACGTCATAACCTTAATTATTACCTAAAGAATAGTGACAGACATAACTAAAATAAACACTAGAAATAAGGACCAACTACTACGCCATTGTTTCGTCTACAATAATTAAATAGGTCGTTCATGGGGCAAAGTGTGCGCATGTATAATAAAATCCCACAGTAGATTTATATCATATCAGACATATAATATCAGACTTAATAGTCTGCCGCTTGACCTATTTAAATGTGATAAAAGTGATTAAAGCATATTATACCATTATACGCATATAAATATAATAAATAATTGCTTAATGTCAGGTGAACTGTCGCGTCGGCTGCCTCCTTTTCACGTAAAAAATCATTCTTAAATAATACGCACACTATCGGATTCTATCGCGCTTAATGAAAAAGTAATTTTCACTTTGTAAATTACTAGCGACCCGCCGCGCATTACGCACGGGTGCTATTTTATCTATATTACATCTACCTTTTCATCTTTTTGTGTCACTGTGGTGCGATTAATAATATTACTATTACGATTTTTTAAAAATCACTAACAGTACTTAACAGTTTTTTCGTGAAAAAAGTAAAGTAAAGTAACAGCCTATACATGTCCCACTGCTGGGCAAAGGCCTCCTCTATACAGAGGGTGTCAGGGCATAGTCCACCACGCGGCCCCACTGCGGATTGGCGGACTTCACATATCTTCGAAAAATATTTTGTTTTTGTTATTATTTCGAAAATATGCAGGTTTCCTCACGATGTTTTCCTTCACCGCGTAGCAAATGATAAGTCAGCACTTCAAGTTAAAACTTCATTGGTGCCGGCA